CCTGCTGCTGGTCGAGGCATGTCTCGGCACTCGATTTCGGACCTGTTTCCACGTCAGCTAATACTACGGCGGCGATTCGCTCAACGTACGTCCCGAAAGCAAGAAAGGCTTATTCTCAGTACGTGTGGCCACCGCTCAGAGCAACCCAGGCTCGCGACGCCTTCCAGCAGCTTTTCTCTGCGGGCTGGACGACGTTTTTCTCGAATCGTTCGGTTGGAGGGGGCGCGCTGCTGCCCCAAGGTCCGGGCTAGTTCATACTAGTATTGAATCCACGGGTCTAACTCACCGGCTGTTTCAACTCCAAATGGCTTTGGGCCACTGCCAATGACAACAAAAAGCCACAGAGGCGCGAGCAGCATTCCCTTTCCTTTCCCCTTTCTGAACCCTCTGTCTCTCTCTTCCTCTCCCTCACATCTCGGTCACTAGGACGGGCTTCAGTCCACGATTCCTTCTTACGCCATGCGGGGGCCAATTGCGAACCATTATTGGTCGGACACTCAGATCCTCACAACTGCAACGCTGAGGCTTCACATGCAACTCATCCTGCGCGACGTTGCTCAGGCCTTGCGGGGAATTGAAGAGACGCCAACGACGTGCGCGACCCTTGGTCACAAAAGTAGCGGTAGCAGCGACAGTACTCCGTAGCATCAGCGCGATTCCGATAGCGAGATCCGCCTCGGATTGGTACAGCCCCTGGCAGGCGAACTGCACGTGAACTTGCACAGGCCCGGGCAGGCCTGTCTGTGTCAATTAAGTAGGTATGTGGGAGAGAGCGCGGCTGTCGTCGGGTGTCGATGCGCACACGCCATGCATGGTGCCCAAGCACAAGGTCTTTTCCCTCGACAGATTCACAGATTGTGGGAGATGGCAAGGCGGGGGTGGGCGGCCCATCTGAACTCTGCGCGTTATCTGGATCAACCTTGCAGGCTGCAGGAGCAAGAGAACAAGCCCGTCATCCAAGGTCAGAGCCGTGGGTTGTCACCCGGGTGGTTGTCCAGACGGAGGAGTCCTGGCACTGGCCAGTCGCTGAATATCAGACGCATTCTGTGGAGATGGTGCTATCGCCATCTTCTTGGACCAGACCCGACTCGATGGTGATCGCTACGAGTTTTGGCGGTTCGACAGAGCGGCCAACTGCACACGGCCCCTTGGGCTAGGGTTGGCTGCCTACTAGCCGCGACCCTGCCGATACGCTGCATCCGCAGTGGCGGAAGCTCAGTCAGGGTCCTGGCCATGTAGCCCATCCGTGGAATGGTTATACGTTTTCTTGCTGGCGGTCAACGGCTGAGCTCCGAACCAGCAGCGAGCGCTAACCAAAGTCCGGTGCACAAATCGAAACCCTGTTTCGGTAGTTGCTTCAATCACCAATGGGCGCTGGCCAAGCCGATGCTTCAATGGTTGACGGCTCGAGCGTGGCGTGTTTGGCCAGCGTTTTCCCCAGGCCGCGGATGTGGGAATTTGTAAGACATATCGCCGTCAGCTTTGCCTCATCATCTCGAAAGGCCCGTTCCTCTTTCCACCATGAACTTGGGCGGCAAGCCACGAACAACAGTGCGAGGTCAGGCGGCATGTCCTCGGTCGCAAGAGAATCTGTGTGTATGGGTGGGAGGGTGGTGGGCTTTCGAATCCTCGCACACTTGCGCAACCCGCACAGCAGCATCCCACATCGCCCGACGCCCCGCGATCAGAGAGATCTGTGAGTTTCCAACGTGCGTCTGATGTATCCTAGTCGGCTGATACCAGCACGGCCTGAATTCACAGACTATTATCTACCTATCGCCTTGACAGCCTAGCGGCACGATGACGGGTAACGATTTTGTTGTTTTCAATTTTATCTTTTATCGGAGTCGATCTCGTCCGCCCGCCTGTCTTTCGTCGACCGTCCTGGCAAGGGGGGGGGGGCCTGTGCGAGACAAGTTGCGGACGAATCGCGAGGCGAGAAGGCCTTCTCGGAGAGATAGAAAGAGAAATGTGCTTCAAAGCAAGTTCTAGTTGCAGCGAGGCGCAACGCGAGCGCTGCAGCCGACGACCAGGCGATGCAGGGCAACGGCAAATGCAAAGGCACGCAAGCCCTCTCAAAGAAGCCACATTGACCGGTTCACTTGCTAGCATATCCTTCCAAGGTCACAATCCCGAATGGCACCTCCAAGCTGTCGTGGCCAAGGCCGAACATGTCCACCAACGAGGGCGTCCCTATCCCGGATGACAGATCACTTGCGGTGAGATGAGAGGAACCAAACAGGCATTCCCGCACCTTATTTCCTTTCCCACAACTCGTCTCATACCCACACAGGGGGGCGGGCGTCTTTCTCATCTGCGAATAGACCTGCCGAGGCCAGGAGCACAAGAACATACTCCACGAGCCGCCGATTAGCGAGATACAATCAATTTAAACGTGCGCTCTGTTCGGATCATGAAAACCGGAGGGGGAAAGGGAGCAACATGGAGAGTTGCTAATAAAAGCGGTCTCATATTCAATAAAGCGTTAGAGCCGAAACGGAGCGGCCGCTTGCCCTGATCCTCCTCCTCCTCCACCCCGCGGCTTCCAATAGCATGACACCTTAAGGCCGCACATCCCCCCCCCCCCCCCCCCCCAAAGGGGTCCAAATGGCGGGCAAACATATCAAAAACATACCGGGATTAACGGATTGCCGTTTTGGGAACTCAACTCGTCCTAACCCACTCGAAACGGCATACGGTCCAGTCCCAACTTGGATGCCTTAGCGGCCCTTTCCCTGACTCCGGGAATAGAATCCATTTCTGTGCATACATTGGGGGTTCTTGAGAAAGGCCTGCCACTAATACCATCCGTTCCTCCTCTTACACCCGCTGGACTAGCCGTGCAGAGCGAGGCGATGGGAATAATGCCATGGCTAATACGGGATGCCGTGACACGCCTTTGACTCCCACCACCGAGACAACCTTACAAGGATAGGAAGGCTCATGGCGAATGCCTTGACGAAATGTCCGGTTTATAGCGCCGCTCTACAGATGAAGCGCCACCGCCGACCCGGGCTCCGCCTTTCGACGTGTCTTACGTGCTCCGCCTGCTTTTTGGATGCCTCCATCCAGCCCGTCAATGTCGCAGCCCGGCGGTGTCACTTCCTCGTTCCAGGGCCAAGCCGAGCGTGGGTTGACGTCGCACTCCGAGCGGCTGCGAGACTGTGTTCCGATCCACTCCCATGTGCAGCCAGCTGCAGCGACTCGTACGGCGTGTGATCAGTGTCGGAGGTGGGGGGGCTTCCTACGCTTCATACAATTACCGAGCGGGATAACCGCCGCCGCCCTCAGGGTTGCGTCTAGCATGATTAAGAAACATGCTACCCTAAAGTTGGCCGCTAACCTTTCTCTCTCTCAAGTCACCACAGAACGCTGCGCGAAGAGACAGGGGGAGACAGCCATTTGCCAACTTCTCGACTCGAATATGTGCGGTGAAGAGGAAGGGCGGGGACTGTGAGTGACACCGCATCCGGGCCCAGTGGACGGGATGCTATGTCGCACGAGGGCTGGGGAGGAGAGGGTGTGAGGCGGACAGGCGGGCTGGGGAGCGCTCCGATGACGCACAACCTCCGAATATATTGATGCTGTGCGACGCGACGGCGGGGTCTCTTCCGAGCGTGGCTGTGTTGAAGATATAGTGAGAAGGGCAGGTTGCCCGATGGGCCGAAGTGCGAGCCGGTATACGCGGCTGATCCGTCGAGCATGGGGAAGTATCCTCCGCGCCGATCGGAACCGGAGGGCCGGTAGACCTCCGGGGGTTCCGGAGCGGGACCACCGGCGGGGATGACTTTTGCTGCCCCGTTGGTATCAACGGCGCATCCATCGGTGCGAAGGTTGAAAAAGGTGGGAAGCAGCGTCCGGCCATGCGAGTGGCCGGTGGCGGCCCAAGTTGTCCCACCCCTCTCACTCACACTGACGAGCCTGCGGGGGTACGCGGTTCGGTGAAGTCACACGCTCTGCCGAGCGATATCAACCAGTCCATGATCCCCGGCGACGCGGTTTTAGTGATATATGACCAGTCCACGCCGCTTGAATACCAGGCTTTGCCGGCCGTTCATGTGACTCGCATACCGGAGACCTCATGTACTGCGATATGCCCATTTGAGCGGCCAGCTTAGATGCTGTCCTTCGGACCCCCCCCCCCCCCCCCCCTCTCTTCCAATAACATATTCATGAGCGGTCTACCCCAGTTTACCCGGTACATAAATTCCACGATCCTCATGGCCCGGTACGCAAGCCTATGCCACATCTCAATCTCTATATACGATACAAAATACCTGATAACGCAGATCAGCTGCCGAACCAGACTTCCCTTCAACTATGGCGTGATTGACTTTGACAACCGCTAACCGTTGAATTCGTGTAACGGACTTTGCTATTCGCTGGTGAATTAGCAAAGATAAGTGAAAATTGACACCGGAAGAAGCCCTAAAAGCGTGATACGAGGCCATAGGCCCTGCAACAACATGTATATTTGGGTTCTGTATCGGCTTCATGACGCGAGATGAACAGCGCTCAACACCGCCGGCCTGACCCGGACATGTGCAACCCGGGTACCCCAGCTGGCGACTCTATCTAGCGGTTTCGTGGGTCGATGCTTTGGGTATTGCCCACCTGATCCGGCTCCCGGAAGACTCGGGTCGCTGTGCGAGAGGGACAGCCCTTTTCTTCCCGGGGAGGTTTGGGAAAGCTGCTCGACCTACATGGCCGGGGACTGTCCGTCTTCGCGAGCGGCACAATCGTGCTGTGGGAGGTTGAACGCGTGCTACTGGGAGACGGACCAGGCTCGGGACTCAAGATGCGGCTAGGCAGTGCAAGAGCGCCCCGGGCTGTTTGGTATAAAATCCATGATGCGACTACACAGAGCGACGGTTGCGGTTCAGCTGATGAGGGGGTATGGGGGACAAAGTGGCGCTGCCTTCGGCGCCCGCAGTAAGTGCGAGGGTTATGACTTGCCCTCTGACGCGGCAGCGATCTTGATATATCGGAGAGCGTTGCGTCTAGTTCAGAAACACAACGGTCGTCACCACAGTCTTGGAACAAGCCATGCTCCGTGTCAGATATGCGCTGCTGGAAACCAGAACAGCAAACGGATGCTTCAACGGCGACCCTTCCTCGGGGGGGACGTAATGCCAGAGCTTGCCCGACCTGATGACCTTTCCGAGAAGCCGTCCCTGCGAGCCCCTGCATGTGTCAGCGGTACAGTACCTTAATAAACGCGGTAGTGCCATCCTGTACCGTGACTAACCCAGCAGAGCTTGTTTGGCTCCTTGTCCATCTTCTCTCCAGAACCCAGCGTATTTTGAGCTACTCGAATTCTCCGAAGACCCCGGTTACATGGGGCACGAAAAGATCATACCGAATAGCGCGGCGTTTAACCGCTCGCAAGCAAGTCCTCATGCAGGAGCCCGCGAGACAGCTTCGGCAACGCGAAAACAAAGTTGGCGTTCTGTCGAAACCCACTGTTATCGTACGACTCGAGCCCGGGCCCGGCGAGGACGTTCGGAGCCTCTACGTTTACCGGACTGGGCGGCCTGCAGATTCGGGCCGAACGCTAGCAGCCGAAGCGGTTGGCCTCAGTGCCTTCCCCCTCCGACGACAACGACGACGCGAGGCTGCATATGTCCGGGTGCTCGCTTTAAGAAAGGCTGGGGGTGGGGGGTCAATCATGCTGTTGTCCCCCCCCAGGTCGCAGACGACTGTTGAGGGCGCAGCTGGGCTTGGCTGTTCGACTTGCGAGGTGTTTTCTCATTGCAACGTTTATGTGGAAGAGTTCGATGTTGGGAAGTCAGAGCTGTTGATGCCGGGCGTGATGTATATCGATACGTTGGGGTTTCTTTCAACCACCAGGTCTTTGTCGCAAGTGTCCTGCTTCAAAGGGATATGTACATCTTGACTTGACGTCCAACAGTCACACACACACACACACACACACCATAGTGCTTATCTAGTCGGCAACAGGGATCGCTAGGGGGTCAGGGGAAACGATCATTTCTAACAGCTCCTCGTCTATCGGAAATGGGCCTCTTGGACGGTGACTTGTTGTCGAGACGAGGGCCGGAGATGTCCCGGGTCGGCGGCTTGTTGAATGCCCAGGAGGGTCGCCCCCTCGACGCTGTGCTCGAGTGCGGTACTGAAATCTGGGCGATAACGATGGCTCTCCGGGTTGGCCCCGGTATTTCCATCGTCTTGATCTTCACTTCTTTTCCAACTTGGCTTAACGAGATTATGGGAGCGCGGCAAGAGACGTGGAAGTTGCGGCCGCCCCCTCAGAACGACGGGACTCGAGACACAAGTGCGGGCATCAACACGGCTGCTTGTTCGTCGAGCAATCCACGCAGTGCAATCACGATGACATGAGAGCCAAGAAGAGGGGGAGGAGAAGGGCCTGTGGGCACGCCATCGGATCATATCTCCATGGGATCGATGGAGCCTAGGACCACTCTCCAGCCCCCCCCCCATTCATAAGGCGAGTGGAGGGCAAGATATGCGGTCTACTTCGGCATATCAGGTTACAATATCCTGTTATAATCTCACTAGAGCCGACAACGATCTCAGTTGCGACCTGGGCGTATGTACTCCACAACATGACTAAGGCCTGAGAATATGTGTAAATAGTCGTACGTAGGAACTTTAAAAGTGTATCTGATAACCATATCACCCGGGTGCGGGGCACATCTGTACAAGAGTGGGGGTCCTGTAGAAATCCCGAGTGTCGCTATAGCAAGCGTGTCATGCGAGGCGCACGCGGCCTGGTCGGGCCAGGAGGTGTACATGTTTATTTTATATAACGGTATCTGGAGCGCTTGTTATGTGAGACCCGGGCAAGGTAGCCGGTTCAAAACCGTAGGTGACCGCAACCTCTCCACGACCCCCCCCCCCCCCCCCCCTCTCCTCTCTCTCTCTCTCGTTAAACCGAGATGGAAGGGAACGGCAAATCGTCCTTTTCTACTCCGCAGCGTCTGCTGTGTTGCTGATCGACGTCGGATTAGCCTCGACAGTCTAAAGACAAGACTAGTGCAGGCCATATCGCCCACAAGAGCCCGACCCGCCTGTCACCCATGCACACCCTTGGACTGGGGAAAATGTCTCAGCGGATCGCTGACGGGCGATCGTTGGGCGTCGATTCTTCTGCTTCTACCTACTCACGAAGTATCCCCATTTCTTTTCCCCTCCAGGTTGAGCTTGGCTGTCCCTGTTCTTTGGCTCGAAAATTTCCCGGGCGAAGTCGGCTCGAAGGGGAGGGGGAGCAGATGGACTCCGCATTTGCCCAGCGCCTAGCCGGTTGGCGTTCAACGGTTTCTTAGCCGCATGCCGCCAAGTCGAAAACCACGCAAGACGGAAAACGGGTGGTTAGCGGGCTTTGTCAACGCAACGTTGAAGAGGGAGAAAGAGAAGCAGCTCAGTCGGCTGGAGCGAACTGCGTGTGGTCCGGACAGTTTGCCGAGTGGACGTTGACGTCAAGACGCACGGCAAGGGGGGGATGATTGCCGTGGCAAACGTTATGTCGGGTTGCACCTGGCTGTTCCTCTTCTCACTGGGAGGGTGAAACCGGCTGTCGCAGCCGGATATCTCTCAAGCTTTTGTGTTTTCCTGCATGGCGCTGCATTTGAGTTGATTGTTGCGCGAGCCCGAGCAGTCCGACTCTTCTGAATATGTCGGCAGCAAGACGGCCAGCATGTTGGGTACACAGCCCAGCCCCTTGGCTTGGCACGCCACGTTTGTCACGACATTGTCATTTGCTCCGCGAGGAGACGCGTATGTGAGAGAGAGAAAGAAAGAAAGAGAGAGAGAGAGAGAGAGAGGTCACACGCCGTCGAGGCTTAGAAAAACAACGAATCCCTTGTTGGAAATTTGTAAGTTTCTGCCATCGATGACGCCCGGCCAAGAAGAATAAAGTAAAACAGTTGAATAAAAAATACAAGCAGGGCGGGATTCCCTAGATACATACATAGTAGAGATGCACAGCCCGATATAAGGAGTTCGTCCAATGACATAGAGTTGTGAGCTTCCCCGATGACCATCATCTATTTGCCGGGATAGGGCCTCTAACGCCCGTCTCGTCGGCGAGCACTGCTTATCGGACTCTTTTGGGCTGTGGCTACACCCAGCTTCTGTTCAACTCATTCCTCTCGCTCCGGCTGGACCATCATTCCCGGTCAGCACGCTAGCATTGGCCTTTCCCTCCCCCGGAAAGTCGTGGACTGAACGGATTACTGGGCAAAGCAAGACAGATTAAAGAAAAGGCCTGATGAAGAGTCTCAGCCAGCTTGGCCATCTCTCGCATCGAGGGCAATCCCGGCGTCCGCTGAGAGAGGCACGAAAATGACACGAAGCGAGAGGGACGGAGGGAGCAGATAGCCGAGCCCGCTCGCTTACTATCTTATTTGTTCGGCGAGGCAGCCCGCTCGTCTCCGCGGGATACCTTGGCTTATGTTGACCCCGCGTCTGCCTCCGCTATAGGGAACCCTCTCCGACCCAGAGCCTCCCGATATTTGGTTCTGTTGCGGGGTTTGCATTTACGTGTGTGTGTCTGTATGTGTTTGTGTTTGTGAGATTGATGTGCGATTTCTCGTCTCTTTGTCTTCCTAAGTCGCTTTCGTTGCCAATCTGCGACTCCCGTGTCCCTCGAGTCGAGACAAACAAAAACGTGGGCATCTAGCCGAGATATCGAATCTTTCTCCATCCTGCCGCGCCCTCCTCGTTCTCGTTGTCGTCTTGTCTTGGCGCCTTTCGTAGCGCTTGGCATAGCGGGTTTCCTGAGGTTCTTCATCTGACTGCGTCCAATGCCTTTCTGTCAACAACCACCCGCCCCCGGTCATTCTTGACCAGGGGGGGGGACAAGGGACATTCGTCTCTTCTTTCCGCTTCTCTGCCTCTTGTTCCCGGGGTTGCGAAGGGAAAGTTGGGAACTCATGCCCTTGTAACCGAGCCGTGCAGGCCAAGTACCGTGTGGGAGGTGTGAGGGGAGAATCTCTCTGGCCAATCTCCATGTTGGTGGCACCTGACGTCGTGAGATGACGCCCGCCGGTATACTTTATTCCATTACTCTGAGTGCCTTTTTTTGTCCAGGGCTGTACCGGTATGAGGTCTGGCAACACCACCCCTTTGGGCGTACTGGGGGAAGAGGATAAAGAGGAGCACTCTCCCCGGCCTCAGCTCTGATGTGAGATGTTGTCCTCGTCAGCCTCAGCCTTCCTCCCTGATCGATCCTCCTCTCTCACTCACTACTTATAATAATCATATTAGAGGCCTCGTCTGCTTCGTTCCACTTACACCAAGTCAACCATGAAGTCCTCCCTCATCCTCCCCTTCGCCACCTTGGCCTCGGCCATCTGCCACCACCGCACATCCCTCTACACCCGAGGCCAGGGCCTCACGGCCCGCGCCGAAGGCGGCGTCGACGTCGCTACCTTCAATTACAACGACATCACGGGCCCCCTCAACTGGCACACTTACAGCAACGCGAGCACCACCTGCTCCACGGGCGTCCAGCAGAGTCCCATCAACCTCAACGACACTTCGGCCACGCTCGTCTCCGGCAAGACCCTTGGGTTCGACGTGCCGGACCTCCCGCACGGCGCCGAGTTCGAGAACCTGGGCAGCACTCTCGAGGTGGTCGCGCCCAACGGCACGCTGACGAGGCGCGGGAGAAAGTTCAACCTGAAGCAGTTCCACTTCCACACGCCCAGTGAGCACCGCGTCGACAGCGAGTACTTCCCCATGGAGGTGCACTTTGTCTTCCAGGCCGACGAGGAGCAACTGGGGAGTAAGTCGAGCCCCTCTTTTTTTCCACCGTTGCTTTGCAACCGTTATGGACCAGACACGGGCTAACGCTGCTTCCGTCTCCCCCCCCCAGACTCCACGGGACCCGGTTACTCCGTACTCGGCTTCCTCATCGAGGTCGACAACAGCGCCCCCTCGGAGTTCCTCAAGAGCGTCTTCGCGCGCGTCGACGAGGTCGCGGAGCCCGGCTCCGTCTCCGAGACGGAGCCCCTGAGCTTCTGCGAGCTCCGGACCGTGCTGGAGCACGCGGAGGTGTACCAGTACGACGGCTCGCTGACGACGCCGCCGTGCTCCGAGGGCATCGCGTGGAACGTCGTCGCGGAGCCGCTGCGCATCGACGACGTCACGTACCGCGCCGCCAAGAAGATTATGAAGTTCAACGCGCGCTACACCCAGAACGTCCCCGGCAAGATGAACCTGCTGGACTACTCGAGGACCACGCTCAACGCGCTTTCCGCGTGAGGACCCTCCCCTCCGACCCCCTTGAGACTCTAGAGACGGGTCGATAGCATGAGGGTGGGACGGTTCGAGGGCAGGGGACGCGAAAGGCGTCGGTTGAGTGAGCAGGCAGAAACCGGAGAGGTCGTAAAAAGAGAAAACCAGGGTACCTACGCGCGTGGGGAGGAGTATGTGGGCTTTCGTGGTGTAATTCTGTGGAGGTGCGGACGATCAGGCTTGTGGATACTATGGAGGATGGGGATTTTGTTCAATTTGGCGTTAGCGAGGGGCGGCACACGTACGAACCGGCATACGTATCCTTACATATATGTACATACATAGATACGTAGACATGAGTAGGGGGATATTGATGAGTAACGGTACATATCGTAGACAGAACCAGTCGGATATTACTACAGAAGGGGGGGGGGGGGGGGGGGACGGAAGCGATTCAAACTAAGAATTACAACATCAACATCACATCATATCGCGTATTAGGGAAGTCTGAATGTTCGTTTGATGCGCTCAAAGAATGTCAAAGGGGGACGTCGATCAAAGTACTCCGTACGATGGTGTAATATAGAGTGATTGTTTTTATTCCAAACAAGAAAAATAACCCGAGCATATCGTCTCCACAAAAACGCAGCAGGCTTGGAGCCTGTTTGACAGGCCGTCCCAGAAGACCGTTGCAAGATTGCCTTCTGTCATTGGAAAGCCTAAAAAATGACAGGTCTGGCTAACGCCTCGCTTGCTTCGTCCAGCCTGCCCCTCTCTTTCTGCCCGTCAGGCCAATAGGCCCGTCAGTTTGCAGTACGTTATCGTTCCTGCAAGAGGGGGAAAAGAAAAAGAAAGGAACGCGACGGACGTTCACCGAGCGATGCCATGTTTGTGAACCCCAACCGACCCGCTTCTGCGCCCCTCTTCTCCGCATCGTGCGGAGCACCGCAACCGCTGGCGGCGCGGGAGTCTGATTGGTGGGAGGGGAAGGGAAGACACTTCCCTCTGTGTCAAACTGGAAAACGGGAGGGAGAAAGACGTTGACAGAGCAATCGCCAGTTGCCGTTAACAGGCATACAGATACCAGGGTAAACCTCAGCATCTCAGACTATCTCAAAGTACTGACCCACCTCCTCTTAAGTCACTTCTGTTGTCCCCACCCACACTACTAACTTCAAATCCTTAACTCTAAGTTAACAACAAGAGAAAACTTTTCTAATAGTATATACTCTAGGCTAGCTACTCTTATTTAAAAGAACGTTGCTTTATTAGGTAGATTTATCTAAAAATTTAATTTATACCACCATATTTAAGATGCACTCTAAGCTAATAGGGATATCTCTGTTTTCTTCTTTTTTTCCTTAGCAAAAGAGTAAGCTGATCTGTGCGGAGGTCTGTGCAGGCTAAGCGAGAGACTTTAAGAGGTACTTTGATGACTTAAGTGCTGCCCCACAACCACCCTGTAATCAGTATGCTTGGTAACGGCAACCGCGATGGCCTGGTTGGAGCCCCGTCATGCCCCCATGCTCAATATTTCTTCATTTACTTGGCACATTTCAAGCACTTTCATCCACCTACGGATACTTGCTGCCTCAACTGCCAAGACGCCAATACGAGAGGGGTAGGAGGATTGGGTGTGGACTGTGTCCAACGGAGTGGATATCGATGGCGCTGTGCCCCAAGTCTTATCCAAGTCTCGTGTCTCGCGTGACGTGACGGAGTGGAAGCGAAATGCGATTGTCGCTCCCCTGATGGTACCGCAAGTCTTGGCATCAGGGGAGAATTCGCACGTGACTCTCTCACGTTGCTCATTTGCACTCCGCGGGCTCCGTCTTTTGCACAGAACGAATTGGATAGGCGACGGCGGAAGCACGGTTTTCGCGGCTCCGCTCGCCCGCTTGGCGCCGGAAGCTGCTTGTCGGCGTCTTCGAGTCTGATGGAGCCATTATCGGATCTCCCGACCCGATGTGGTTCTTGACGGGGCGTGCGGTCGCGGTCGCGGTCGCTGGCGCCTCGAATGGGATCGGCGCTTTCTTGCCGAGTGCTGTTTGGCGATGACGGCGCTCTCCACCTGGGAAACAACTCTTCATGTTATGACGTGTGTTTTCCCTGGGAAAGAACACTTTGCACAAGCATCCCGATATTAGTCCCGCTTGAAGATGTGGCGGGCCATGTCGCTGAACGAGCGACCGCCGAACAGGAACTGGGAGCTGTGACGGCCGCAGTGGGTGTAGACGTTGACCGCCTGGGAGTGGGAGGATTTGCGCTTGGACGGGCGCGGGGAGTCGGTTGAGACTGCCCTTCTGGTGGCGGAGAGGTCTGAAGAGATGGAGCTGGCATCGGAGCCGACGCGGCTGCTCTTGGGGCGAGGCATGTCGAAGTTGTTGGTAGTGTAGGAAGACATTGTTTGTAATTCAGTGCGATGGTCGGCTGTTTTCGAGTTGGCGTGTGTATGACCAAGTTGACACAAGACTCTGATTGTAGATAATCCGTCTGAACAGAGAGGGGTTCATCCCGACCGCGGGACATCCGTCCTTAAATGCTTGAAGGGCTCGTCAGAGCTGGATGCAGCTGCACGGCTGCTTAGCCTTGGCCCACGCAGATAATCGCTTGGTCGGCATGGATTGGCGACCCCATAAGACTCGGTGGCCTAGAAATGCTGTACCCCGACTGGCCGACTTGCCGACTTGGCCGACTTGCCGGTCGGTTGTGGGCCCACGTGAGACCGGTCTGCTGGTCGCGGTGACCCCATTGATGCGACCGAACCTGCGAGCGCGAGCCGCGAGTGGAGCCGGCCTCGTCAGGCAGCAGGGCAGGCCAATTCTTCTGGTGCCCTTCTTTGCATTTTCCGCATTTGTGCTACCTTAATGGCTACTGGCTGAGTGTAGGTACGCGGGGATCTGCATACTGGGCTGATCGATCCTTGACGGCCTCAGAAACTGGCCCAAGGGGGATGGATTTGAGGCCAGCTCGCCGGACAAGGAAATAGTAGGTGTTTGATGTTCGAGAGCCTCATTCGTTCACACGCGCAATGCCGGGCACTAGATACCGGGTTTGAATGCACAGAATTGCTTGGTATGATCTCGTGGCTATGATCGACTGTCGGTGTCAGCGAATCAGACGATATCTCGGTACGGGAGCGTCGTCAGCAACGCTGTGTTAGTCGCTCCCGTCCCGTATGTTCGGACGACGCCGACGGGTTAGCGTCGATTGCGGGCTCTCGGCACCCATGCACGTGACGATTCGTTATCCTGCTGCCTAGTTAGTCGGGCGCACTGGAGGGGCTCAGGCTACAAGGCATCAGCGCACCTACAGCAACCCGCCTTATCTCTATGCCTCAGGCACTCAGGCATGGACCTACTACCTAAGCCGGGGAGCACCAGCCACGTTCCCCGGCCATGTGTTCCGGAAGCTTGAGCTTGCGGGTTACCCCAGACTCGGAGCCGTAGGGCTGATGGAAAACATCGAGTTGGTGAAGCTTGAACTTTGGGCAATGTAAAGAAGGTGATTCTGAAGATGGCAACAATCTTCCGGTCTTTGGCGGCCAAGATTCCGAGTCAGCAGTGGGGATTTCCAGGCAACCTACACGCCCAAGCTCGGAAGCCACCAAAGCCCCGTTATGAGCCTTCAACGACAACCGTCGCTGGAAGAAAGCGTTTCGAGGTTCGGCAGTGATGGAAACCGAGAAATGACATCATTGCCGGTAATCGTCCGGCATTTGGCATGTCTATGCACCGCGACCATTTACAACCCCCAAAAGGTCGATTTGACCGTTTCGACCGCCTATCTTGCATTTCCGTTTGACATGATTAGCCTTGGCGACTCCATTGTCGCACTTTGTCTTGGCAATACCAGTCCTCCTCCTTCTTCGAGTGCTACCGTGGTCGCGATGATGCGAGGTGGACACTCGTCACCCACTTACCCCGGGCCCGACTTTTTTTTAACCTCGTGCGCCGGGGAGCACCGTCAATCCTTGCAAGACGATTGGGTATGCTTCAGACTTTCGGCACGTCGAGACGAAAATCGGGTGACAGAACCGCTGACCGTGCTAGGGCCACGTAGGCCCGAAAATCCCATCGCAATGCCTCATCTCGGAAGTGACAGTCTCAAGATGCAAAAATCCAACGTAAATGAGGCCCCGGATATGCCCCACTAAATTGAAGAAAGATGGGTCTGCAAGGCCCGAAATGGAAGTCTGATAGCTTGAGTGTGCTGGGCGCCCGGGCCATCTGTGGCTGGTGGGCACTGCACGTGAGACCCACTCGACTGACTCTCTACCCAACCTGTTGAGCAGCGCGCAGCAACGCGCAATGGTGGTTTTTTCCAGCGAAACCGAACTTCTCACCAGCCGGCGGCATAACGATATCTCGCCGTGCAAAATTGCCCAGTGACAAACGTCGCCGACATCGAAGCCGACCGCGTTCTCTTTCGCGTCCCGATTTCTCAAACTCCAATGGGGGTTTGTCTTGCCACTATCAACGCCTGACGGACGCTTCCATCGTTCTTGCACATCCTTCTCCCTGAGCGCTAAGACAACAGGTACGGCCTTCCCCCAATTTTTTGGTAGCTGCAATACAGACCAACTTTGCCATCTTTATTTCTGTTTCAATGACCTTCTGTTCCAATTTTCATCGATTGCATGCTGACGTTGATATTACGAACCTAGACTTGCCTCGCAATTCCTAGCTCTTCCGGCGTGCACAACAATCAAAAGACGCGATAACGACCAACCCGACCGCGCCCACCTCTCGTTCCCGGCCCCTCTTAAGACACGATGCCGACGAAACGCAAGCGCGACATTGAGGATTTTGATCCCAACAAGTCGGATTCCGATGACGAAAACTTCGAGCCTGGCGCAGATGCACCTCCTACCCGCACCAAGAAGCGATCGCGCGGGCCCAGGAATCAAAGGAGCTCTGGTGGCAGGCGACGCAACAACCGATACCGTGGATCAGACATCGAGGACGATGACGAAGATGACGTCTCCGATAGCCAGGACGAGGGCTCGTTCGTTTCGGAAGAGGAGGAAGAAGTCGAGGATGCACCTGTCAATGCTGCCGGTCGCCGTGCAAGAAAGGCCGCCACGAAGCACAACAGCTACAAGGAGAGCGACGATGACGAATCCGACATTGCCGAAGAATCAGATGATGTGCTCTCTGAGAATATGCAAAAGCCCAAGAAGAAGGACAGCTTGATGATTAAGCTCAAGGTGCCCAAGTCCGCCTCGAAGTCTGCTCCTGCAGCAACAATCACCAGGCGATCAACCCGTGCTCGCACAGAAGAGCTTGGGGAAGAACTCGTCGAGTTGACTAATTCCGGCAGACGCTCACGCCCTGCCTCGCGGTCCAGGAGCCCCGAGGCCTTGGCCAGAACTCGGTCTTCCCGCTCGATCAAGGGACTTAAGAAGGGCCCCGAGACTATCGAAGAGGCGACCCAGGAGAGCAGCGGCCCCCGCGAGGACGACGTCGATATTGACGAGTTGGCCGCCAACGTTCAGGTTGCGGCTTCAGAGGTCAAGGATACCGAGATGGAGGATGTCAAGGAGTCGACCGAGCAGGTGAAAGACGACGGTGTTGCAGCCGATGATGACGACGACGAAGATGAGGGACCAATCACGCGGCGGACTCGGGCTAAGAGAGGAAGTCACTCCGCAGCTGGGACCGCTGAGCCGGACGTCGATGCCGACGCTGAGGGCGAGGCCGAAGACGATGGTCCCAAGCGACGCCTGACTCGCCGCAACGGGCTTCGAAAGTCAAAATCCGTTCAAGAGCCGAGTAGCGATTTCGAGCCCGGTGAAGAGTCGGCAGAGGAGGAGGCCCACATGTCCGAGTCGCCCAAGAAGGATTCTGGCGACGGTGACGACGGCGATTTCGACAGCCCGGCTCCGCGCGGGAGGGCCGCCAAGCCCAAGGGTCGATCCACCCGGAGCTCGCGCCGAGGCGCCGAGTCAGCCGAGGAAGTCGAGCTAGACCAGGATGAGTTGGCCGAGGAACTTCACGAACTCCGACAAGACTCGCGCTCACGTCGCACTCGACGACCTTCGCCCGCCATCATCTACCAGGAAACTGTTTCAAAGCGTCGCAGAGCCGCCGCGAAGCCGATGAACTACTTTATGCCGCCCCTTTCCGCCGTCAACATTGAAGAGGATGACGCCGAAGACCCTGCCCCGACGCCTGCACGCCGTCGCGGGGGCCGCGGAGGTGCAACTCAGGCATGGGATCGCGCCCTGAACACGACCTTCGGCCCCTTCGGAGGAGGCGGCGGTGCCGGGTCACTGCTTACTGGACCTTGGGGTGCAGGTGCTGCGGGAGGCGTTGATTCTGACAGCAGTGACGACGAGATGGGCCAGCGCTCAGGTGCGGCTGGTAACGTCGGCATGACACCCACTTCCGCGGCCGCTCCAGCCGGGCTTCTGCCGGGTCTCGCACAGCCCTTGGGCGGAGATGCGGGCGTCGGTGCCACACCGAACGTCGGCAAGATCAAGAACCAGAAGGCTCTGGCAGACGCCGACCCCCTTGGCGTGGATCTGACTGTCGACTTCAACCACGTCGGTGGTCTCCAAGGCCACATTGACCAACTCAAGGAAATGGTCCAGCTCCCCCTTCTCTACCCAGAGCTCTTCCAGAAGTTCCACGTCACGCCGCCCCGAGGTGTTCTTTTCCACGGTCCACCTGGTACTGGTAAAACTCTCCTTGCTCGAGCCCTTGCCAACTCTGTCGGCATCGGCGGTCGCAAAATCACCTTCTACATGAGAAAGGGCGCCGATGCCCTGAGCAAATGGGTTGGTGAGGCCGAAAAGCAGCTGCGTCTGCTTTTCGAAGAAGCCAGAAGGACACAGCCGAGTATCATCTTCTTTGATGAAATCGACGGATTGGCGCCTGTACGCTCCAGTAAACAGGAGCAGATTCATGCCTCCATCGTATCAACACTCTTGGCCCTGATGGACGGTATGGACGGTCGTGGGCAGGTCATTGTGATCGGTGCCACCAATCGTCCGGACAACATTGACCCGGCCCTCAGGAGACCTGGCAGATTTGATCGCGAGTTTTACTTCCCGCTGCCCGATGTTGCTGGTCGAAAGTCAATCCTCGAAATCCACACCAAGGATTGGGGACTCTCGGAGCCGTTCAAGCAGCAGCTTGCCGAGAACACCAAGGGCTACGGCGGTGCTGATCTCCGAGCCCTCTGCACAGAAGCTGCACTGAACGCCATCCAAAGGACCTACCCCCAGGTCTACTCATCAAAGGACAAGCTCATTGTCAACCCGGACAATATCAGCATCCACGCGACAGACTTCATGCTGTCCATCAAGAAAATGGTTCCTTCGTCTGAGAGGTCTGCAGGCACTGGCGCGGCCCCCTTGCCCAAAGGTATCGGGCCGCTGTTGCGGGACCAGTTCGGGTCGATCAAGAAGGCGTTGAACGAGGTGCTTCCTCGTAAGAAGAAGCTAACTGCGCTGGAAGAAGCCATGTTCGAGCAATTCGAGGACGAGGACCAAGGTTTCGGACGGGAGGCTCTGCACCAAGAGTTTGAGCGTTCCCGCATCTTCCGTCCCCGGCTCTTGATCCATGGCTTTTCGGGCATGGGCCAGAGTTATTTGTCGTCTGCTCTGCTGCACTATTTCGAAGGCGTGCAGGTTCAGAACTTTGGCCTTCCCAACTTGCTTGGTGACGGACGGGTAAGCAGTGACCCGGCCAACTGTGTTTCCTTTCGACTAACAGTTTGCAGCCCATGGAACAGGTGATCGTCAGCCTCTTTACTGAGGTCAAGAGACACAAGCCTAGCGTCATCTATATCCCCGGCATCGACTCCTGGTATGCCGCCATGAGGGATACGTTGCCTTTCATCACCTTCAAGGCGATGCTCAAGTCCATCCCGCCCACAGATCCCATCTTGGTGCTTGCCACTGCGGAGTATGAGGCAGGGGAGGATCTCGCCCCGGAGCTTGTGCGGGAACTGTTCGCCTTCTCTCGCAAGAACCGGCTGCAGATTGAGCGGCCGAAGCATGTGAGTAACCCAGCGAGCGAGGATCATTGACAAGCAGTTCCGCTGACATGGATTAGTCTAACCGGCGAGAATACTTCTCCGCCATTGTCGAGCATGTCCGGAAGAGTCCAGCCGACTTCCCTGATCCTGCCAATCGAAAGATGAGAGTTTTGGATCAGCTACCAGTCGCTCCACCGCCGCCACCAAGGGTACCCACCAAGGAGGAAGTCAAGGCTATGCAGAAGCGCGACCATCAACTACTCAACATTCTGAAGGTGCAACTGCAGCCAATCATGGACCAAATCAACAGGAAGTACAAGAAGTTCAGACAGCCTGTGATAACTCCTGGCCAACTGGAATACCTGTTCCTCGAAAAGGACCCCAATTATGTTCGCCCCGACGTCATGGGCGCCGAGCATCGTCCTTTCGAGATCGTCAAGGACAAGCACGGTGATGACGTGCTGCGCGAGACAGCCACTGGCAAGACATTTTATAACCTTGAAACAACGACAATCGAGGAGCGGTTGTCGAATGGCTTCTATTGCCGACCCAAGGACTTCCTTAAAGACATAAAATCTCTTGCCAAGGACTCCAAGAACATTGGGGACAAAGAGAGGACTCTCAAAGCGAACGAGCTCGTCAGCAATGTCGAGGTCGACGTCGCCACCATCGAGGGCAACACGAGCACCGTGGACTGGGAGGCGTTGCACCAGAGACAACTTCAGCGTGCCAAGGCGGCAGCCGAGAAGGAGCGGAAGAGGAAAGCCTTGCAGTCCGTTGTCGATCGCGTGCAGACCGACATAACCGGCGGCAACGACAGCGACTCTCAGGGCCCCGTCACGCTGGGTGAGCGCATTCCCGGGTCGGCCCATGCCTTGGCCCGCTTCCAGGTCATGAGCCCGGGACCCGGCGGCGCTTCCGAGGCCCAGCAGCAAAGCAACGGGGTATCAAACCCTTCGCGGCAGAGTGACGTGCACATGAGCGGGACGGACGACGACACGACACAAGATAGCTCTATGCAGCCGCCGTCTCAATGGCCGCCGCAAGCGAACCCGTCAACAGGAATTACCCAGGTGTCCCAGAGGTCCGTTGTCACGACGGTCCCCCCAGGCATGTCACCTTCTGCAATTGTGAACGACGCTTCAACCACCAAAACGTCGGATCCCTCCGAGAGATCGACAGACAAGTGGAGCACACAGGCAACGAACGGGTTCCATCCAGACCAGTTTAGCCAGGGTGATAACTCGCAGCTGCAAGACACGCAGATACCCACCGGAATGGGGCAAGTGAGTCAAGCCACTTCCAGCGATGATGCTTGGCCACACTCCCAAGCCCACGGTATGGCGCGCGGAGTCATCCGCCCTCCCGGCAGTCAAACGTCATCTCCCAGCAAGTCGAGAAGCTCAGGCGACTCTAAGCATGCTATGCCTTTGGTCAACATTCTAAACGAATCCACAAACGACGATATCCGTAACTCGGGCTCGTCATCCTCGCAGCAGCAGCCTGTCATCCATGAGGGCCAGGTCGAACAATTTCTCGACGAACTGACCGAGAGGACCTCGGGCTGCACCATCGAGCAGCTTGAGCAGATCAATCGCGAGCTCATGGACGAGATCTGGAACACGAGACACGAGTGGAACCGTATGAAGGTTCTCAGCGACCTGACGAACGTGTTCAACGAGACAATCAGCGACATCGAGAGCATCCAAGGGCTGTTCCAGCAGAGCCAGGAGTCGTGAGCCGAGAGAAGCGGAAGGCGGAGTATTGTTTCTACGAGCTGTAACATAGTACATTCTCCTTGAGTAGTTTTTTTTTTTTCTTCTCCAAGTTGTTTCGTCCCCTACGTCTAACCTTTTTTTTTTCTTTTTCACCCGGCATGATGGAGAGCAAAGCTGGGCAGAACAGGGAAGGGGAGGGGGGGAGGGAAACGGTCTAATTTGTAGGCGACAGTACGGCCTCTTTCTTGTGATAAAGCACATTATATCGAGCACAGCCACATCCTCCCTGCGTAGTATGGGACAGGCAATAGATAAAAACGCACGATGACCATGGTTTTTTTCAACAACATGAAAAATAAAATAACAAGACTCCGCCGGTCCATATGCGAAAGGGGGGTCTTTCTCCGATCGAGTGATGTATGGTTTCCCGTCCGATGCTCTGGTGTTTCAACGCAGCCTTCAAGTGAGTGCTTGTGAGGGACAGCAGTTGCTCCGACAGAGGCGCATGCATTGACTGCGTACCCGACTTCTCATGGAAAATGGACAGGCTCAAGAGCGATGATGGCTGTGTCGATATCGGTGTCTATACAAGATACCGCCAAAATGTAATATGAGAACACCTGTATATGCCCTTGTGAACCACCGGTTCGCCAATGATTCGAATCTAATGCTCCCCGTTCCGATGCTCCTTTGGTATGCAAACGCTCCGTAAACCCCTCAAAAAAATAATTTAAATTTAAATTTGCAACCCGTACTCAAACAATCGCACCCCTCCTCAGCGCAACTTCCTCGGCGATCTCCGCCGCGCCCGTTCCTCCAGCTCTTCCCGTGACAGGATGATGCTGTCCTCCCTCTCCTCCTCGCAGCCCATCAACTGCGACTCGTGGATCCACCCGGCTTCGACGGCGAACCGGACGACCTCGGCGGCGCTCCCAAACGCCGGCGTTCCAGCCTTGGCGTCCGGGTCCAGGTACTTCCACATCTCCTTGGTGACCTTCTTGAACTCGGCCACGTCCTTCTTGTCGCCCGCGAAGCCCTTGGCCATGTACTGGTACAGATAGGCCAGCCACAGGACGTTGGTGTAGGGAACGTAGACGTCCCACGAGAGGGGCTCGCCGTCCCACCCTTTGGCATAGGGGGCTTTGTGGGCCGACGGCGGCAGGTGGCCACGTTCCCCGCGCAGCAGGAAAGACCGCATTTGGCGGTAGACCTTGCACTGCGGCGCGTGGGTGCTGGTGAAGATGCTGAGGTCCTTTTCGAGGTCGAGCGCAACAGGCTCTGACTCTTCCGCCCCGAGGTCCTCGGCGCGGGACAGGCCGTAATCGAGAATCGTGATGTCGAGGCCGGAATAGCCGAAGTAAGGTCCCGGCTTCTTCGGGTCGCGCGTCCTAGGTTCGTCGGTCCTGCGGATGCAGAGATTGCCCTCGTGCAGATCGCGATGCTGCAGTTCTTTAGCTGGGCGTCTTCCTCGACTCTCACGTCAACGTACCTCAAAACAGGCCAAATCTTCCGCCCGAGCCAGTGCGACGGCGACATGAAAGAAGATATCCCACAGCTGGCTCGAGTTCGCCAACTCAAAGTCCTCGAGCGCGGTCCCTGCATCACCCAGCTCGACCACCAAGAACGTCGTGTCGTCAAGATAGCGGCTCGGGCTCGGGTAGAACTGCAGCCTGTCCGGATCCTTGCGCTTCATCTTCCGGTGGAACCCTTGGTGTGTCTCCAGCAGGCACTTTGGCGCCTTACCTTTCACAAGGTAACGCTCCTTGTATATTACGAAGCCGGGGATATCGGCGAGCCACTCGGATATACGCAGCTCACCGCGCATGTCATCTTCGGAATGCGGCTCTTCGTCGACCAGACCCGAACGCTCCTGGGCCTTGGTCTGCGCCTTGATGGGTGATTCGAGGCGGATGCACTTGATGATGCTCGTGCCGCGCTCGTTGCGGACGCGGTACACTTCTGCGTAGGAGGCCTCGGCGATCTTCTCGATCGTGTCTCCCGGCGGGCACACTTCGTCCCAAGTGAGAACGCGGTAGGCCGGTTCAGGCTGCACTGGGGGTTGGGAGATTCTGATCTCGGGTGTCTCAACCTTTGATACAGGTGTCGGAACTCGTGCCTTAACTTTTGGTGGTGTCGCCGGTCTGCTGGTTTTGGGAGTCTCCTTTGTTATCCGCTTGGGAGATGCCGTCTTTTCTGGCCTCGGGGGAGATGTGACAACAACCGAGCTAAAGTCTCTGGAAAGCTCGTCCTCCGAGGATTCCGATTCGTTCTCAAACCCGACGGCGTGCAGCTTTTCCGTGATTTTGATGATGGACTCATCCTCAGCGGCTACCGAGACCACTTCATTGGGTTTTTGTAACGGACTCTGAGGGAGCTCGGCGAGGAATCGCCTGGCTTTGGCTCTCGTCGAGGTCTTGCCATACGTGCGGGCTGCCGTTGTTCGCGCCATTGTATCTTGGTTTTATTCTCATTCAGTATTGTCTTGCCGGGATGGAAATGCATTCTCTATTATCGTCCGCTGCAAGTTGCTGCATTGACGGTCGTCCGCAACTATTGACATTCGATGCATGTTGTCCCGACAACCGGGGACACACCGGATCACCGCGGATGGCATGTTATTCCGGGAGCGGCTGGCGACTTGGACGCGCGAGATTCGGAAACTCGGCTCGACCGCATCCAGATGCTATGTGGGGCAACGCCGTTACGCCCAGGTTCCAGAACAGCGACGTTGACTGGCTGACGACAGGTTGACGAACTGACCTAATTTCGCCTTTCGCTGGCGGCGATACCTCTCCTCACAGGCTCGCAGCTTCACTGTCTGCAGTCTTGGACCTCGACACCACCGCAGCTAGCCAGCCATCCCCCCCGACCGCAACCATGGCCAACATTCTCAACGGCCTCTTTGGAGGCTCCAAGTCCTCTGCATCCCCGATCCCTAGCGGAGACGCTGGTATGTGATTCTCAATTGCAGTTCGCATCTCTTGAGTGCCCCCATTCACCCCCCTCCCCCCGTGCCGTCAAAGCTTCTACCCATTTCCCCTCGGCACCCACAAAACCCACCATCCCAAGCTGACGCAATCCGCCTTTGCATGTAGATTTCGCAGACTTCGCAGGGGCTCCCGACCCGTCACCCACGCCCGGCGCCTTCACTGCTGCTCCCGGCGGCGCGACTCTCGGCGGTAGCTTGCCTGAGGCTACGGCTCGTCCCTACACGAAGTGGTACAATGTCCACGAGCGTCACTCGCTCAGCGAGTTCAAGCTCGAGGGTGCCATCCTAGCCGTCAGCGCCGTCATCTTCCTTCTGCACATCGTTGGCACGCGCCTCAACCGCAAGAAGGCTCAGACCTGGGCTTTCGCCCACGCGCCGTTGCTCAAGTCTGAATTCGCCTCGGTCGGCTTCTCCCCGCGTTCGACCACCAACACCGATCCCAAGGATGCTGCCGGCTTGTTGCGCGAGAATTCTCTCTTTGAGTTCGCCAGCTACAGCACGGGTCGCCAGAATGTCGCGTTCATGGACGTCAAGTTGACTCTGACCAAGCGCTTCAACCCGGCCCTGAGCATCTTCGAGTCCGTCTCCAGCTTCTTCATGGATGCCGTCGAGACCCCCCATGACTCTGTCGAGGCTATCATCTACCCCTTTGACGGCAAGGAACACCTCACCGTCCCCTCCATCCCCGGCACCCACGAGCTGCGCAGCAAGGAAAACAAGAGCACCTACGACAACTTTGTCTGGGCCATTGTCTCCAAGGACCGCATGAAGCAGGTCCGCGACGACCGCTACGACGTCTCCATCACCTTCACCAAGGACCATGCCAAGCTCCCCAACTGGGTCACCGTCATGAGCGAGAGCGCCGAGATCACCGAGCAGCTTCTGACGCCTGAGCTCATCAAGGCTGTCGAGTCTGCCGGCGACGCCTTTGACTACCTCATCGTCTCCGACCAGCCCATTGAGCGTCCCGCCACGTAAGTCGCCACGGCCCTTCCGCTGCTTCCTCGTCCAATACTGACATTCTACAGTCTGGAGGAGACCACCCCCCGCAAGCGCATCTTCCTCCGCTACCGCATCCCCTCCAACAACAACTACAACGACCTGTTGCCCATTTTTGAGTACTTTGTCCGCATCCCCGACGTCCTCGTCTCCGGCGCCCACTTCCGCCCCGAGGTCCTGCGCAAGGTGCGCAGCGTGCGCGAGGAGACCATTGCCCAGCTCAAGAAGGCCGCCGACGCCGAGAAGGCGGAGGAGCGTGCGCTTGAGCGCGAGAAGCAGAAGAAGGCCAAGCGCGACGCCGAGCTCAGCGCCCTCGACGCAAAGGCCCAGAAGAAATACCTCGAGAGGGAGCGCGAGCGCGACATGAAGAAGAGCATGAAGAAGCAGACCATGCGCGGTTAGAGCAGCAATGCTTTTCTGACTGGCATGTTTCGATAAGTTCTTGTCTTGATCTCTCGTTTTCGTCCGAGGGCAAAAAGGGGGGCCAGCGTTGTGTCCGGTTCGAGGCGGTTCAGTGGTGCCGGTGGTTCAAGGGGTCGGCGGTGTCAATATCACAACCTACCAGGCTGAGATGTATACATGTACCATTACGAAAAGCGGCGTGGGGTAATAAAATAGTATATCGTTGCGTCAATGAATAACTTAATAAGCCGGCGTTCTCTGTCCCGGTTTCCGTTGCGTGAGCTGGGCGGCCTGGCAACGCGCACGGGTCTACTTGTCCGACGCCAGAATGCCCTCGATCCGCTTCACCTTGTCTTCGGCCGACTGCTTCTTGTCCGTCCTGCGCGATCCATCAGTCCCCGGGCGTTTCCGCGTGCAACTCATCACTTCAGATAGACAAACCTCGAACCGACGCGCATCGAAGACTGGATCCTGACGACGCCGCTCTGGTGGACAAGGGAGTGGGCCTGCCCGATGACGCGGAAGATGTCGTCCCAGCTGCCCTCTGCGCGAGGTCTCGCCGTCAGCTCTGCTCGGATTCACCCAAACAAAACGCCCATGAGCGGGGCCCCTCTGTACGGTGATGAGAGGGGGAAGATGGGGGCGGGGTAAACCCGCGGTCTGGACTCACCGACGGTCGTGCCGGCCGAGTGCATCGTGCACTTGAGCCCGCTCGCATTCAACAGGCGCTGGACCTGCGCGACCTCGTTGGCGACGGAGACGTTTCCTGTCCCGACGGGGATCAGGCAGAAGTCGCAGTATGCCGACTCGGGCGTGGGGATCTTGGAGTAGTCCTCGGAAGACATGGTTGAGCTTTCGGTTCCTGGCTTTTGACCTGCACACGGCGTGTCGATACGATTGCGGGGCAGCCGTGGTGAGTTTCTTCTTGAAGAAATGTAAAGGAAAAAGCAAAAATAAAAAACCCCAGATGGATGTTTAGGTATGTGAGTGTTTGTTTTGCTACCCGAAGTTGTGATATCGATATCTAGGAAGGGGATCCTCTCACCAGTCGATGAGATAGAGCCGCAGCCCCACTTGGTCAAGGTGTGTGCCGTTGACGCGAAAGCGCGGGCCGGGCAAGCTTCCATGCCCGATCCGGCTTAGCGCCGCTGCTGTTTCAACGGGGCATCCGACTTGGATACAAGTCCGCGTGCATCTCATCAGCAATGACCGCCTACCTAATGTAACACGCAGTCACTGGTTTACCCAAGCCTTTTTTCTTTCTTTTTCTTTTCCTCTTTTGTATCTTTGCCGGCACGATGTGTAATTGCCAAACACAGTATGGTAAGGTTCCTGGACAAGTCCACTGTAAAGTTACATTGTGGACAGAGAATTAGTGTATAAAATGCACGATATGGCTTCTGAAACTACCGTGGACCGTCGCTGGCCATGTCTACCTACTGAGGAGGACACTGCTCGTATGATTGCGGCAGTCAGATGGGCATCTTTATACTCTTCTTTCCCTTCAGCCGTGTGATTCAGCTTCTTGGTTCCATTGCTCATCAGCCTCACCGTCGGCCTCGTCGGGAGCCGGAACGGTCGGTAGTCTCAGTCAAAGATCAACAGAACCCTCTCCTTCAATCTCGGCTGAGAACTCTGGTTCTCGTCAAAAGGCCTCTCGATGTTTACAGGAGACCAAGCCGTGAACCGGTAGCTAGCTCGATGCCGGGAGAGCCTAGGCTAGCCGAGGTACAATGCGTACGTTGTTTGACTTTTTTGTTTGAGTTCTGCTAGGGCAGGCTCAATCAGCGATGAGTAGGACGGATCTCGGCCGAGCGGGACTGTAAGAAGACAAGAAGAAGAAGAAGAAGAAGAAGAAAAAGAAAAGTAAGAAAGAAAAAAAGACAGAGTTTCCCCGTGCCTCGGAAGGGAAAGTGTTTTTTCTTCTTTTTACCTCCACGATCCCCTGGCCTTTCCTGTTGCTCCGGATCTACGGCTGCCGCGCTCCCTAATCCGTTTCAAGGGAAACCTTTTGTTTCCTCTCGGCACTCCCGAGAAGGGCATGCGATGCAACGGCCGCCGGCTCTTCGCCGAAGGTCAGAGTCTATAGTCCCCCAAGGCAAAGTCGGTTTTCCCATGTCGGCCAAAGAAATGCGCAAAATAGGCTCGCGCGCTCACCTCACACTTAGTTCAGCCCTCTGTCACATCCTCCCTGCCTCCAAACTTTGTTCCTCTGCTCACTCCGATCCCGACGACGTACCCTCTGTGATATCTCGCCCCCCCCCCCCCCCCCCCCCCACAAAAAGGCCATTGGCATCATGTGCCGCGTTTCACACTCTCACGACTGACGACTCACGACTCTCGAGTTGCGGGCGTATACGCCGGGGAGAAAAAAAAAGGTGCTGCTTTCGCAGAAGATGCCTCTTAACGTTAGAATTCAGAGCTCGTCTAAGGGCTGACGGCGGACCCGGGCTCCTAGCGCTGGTCCAGCATGACAGAGGACAGCCTCAACCTTGACCCGAACTCGCCCCTGTCTACTTTTTTTCCCCCTAGGATGCGAGCCTTTTTCGAGCAAAGAACCTCATTTGCCAGACGTTTACCCCTTCCTCCCATGTTTTGCGGCGCCACTACTGCTGCACGCGTTGCTGCCCACTGTCGCTGGTGTTATTGCTGCCGCTGCTGCTTCTGGCCCCGCTCGTGAGGATGATATTGGCGGCGTTGCTGCTGCTCTCGCTGTTGCTTCTGGCCCCGCTCGTGAGGATGATCTTGGCGCCGTTGCTGTCACCGCCACTGCCGTTGGCGTTGTGGTTGCTGCTGCTTCCGCCGCCGCTGGTGCCGATGACCTTTGCGCCCTCGGCGGCGCCCGCGGCGCTTATGGCGCCGCCCGTGACCTCGAACCTCGTGCAGTCGTCCTGGGCGCCTCGCTGGGCGAGGGGCATCACGACGGGCTGGTGGGTCGTCGCCGCAATCAGGGTGCACGCGCGGTACACGCCGGGGGGCAGCCCGCCGTCGACGCGGGCCGTCAGCAGGCCGTTGCCGTCGCCGGCGTCGTCGATGCCCCTGAAGAAGGCGAACTTGGTCGCGTCCGGCGGCGTCGTCGTCGTCATGGAGCCGATGTCCTGGATCGTGATGTGGCAGTGCCCGTAGACGTCGCCGGCGACGTCGAGCTCCTGCGGCGCCGTGTAGTAGTTGGTCGCCGGGTTGGCGAAGAGGCCGGCCCGCAGGTGGACCGTCTGCACCGTGACGTTGAAGCCGACGCCGGACGGCAGCCGATCGCCGGGCCGCGGGTTGGTGATGACGGCCGAGATCATGTTCTGCGCCGAGGGGAGACTGCCCATGGGGATGCCGTTGCAGGACCCGCCGGCGAGCTGCTGGCCGTTGGTGAGGGTCTGGCCCTCGCAGAAGTTGATGAAGTTGTCCCTGTCACTGGCGTGGTTTCGCGTGCGTGTTAGCCGGCTGCTAGTGGATCTGTACGCGAGGAGCAGGGGAGGAGAAGGGTGGTGGCGGCGGCGGTGGTGGGAGGTTTACGTACGTCGTTGCCGCGACTTGCCCCCGCTTGATACCCTTGGTTCCGGGTTCCTGGCCGGTGAGACTGCTGGCGCTCTGGATGAGGCTCGGGAGCAGGCACGACGGCTGCTGCTGCCTGGCTGCCAGGACCTCCGGGCCGGAGTGATCGGCATGGAAAGAACTGGGCAGGGCCGCCACGCGTCGGCTCAGGGTGACCGAGACGACCGCGGCCAAGACGAACGAGTAAAGCATCTTTTTCCAACGATGAGGTGGGGGGGGGGGGGAGGGGGCACCGCCGGCAGGGCTATGTATCATCGGCTTCCGTCGAAGCAAGAAATACGTCGAACGCAGCTTGCACAGCAACCTGGGTAATCCGAGTTAAAGGGGAAAGGGGGCTTGGAAGAAACGAGAGGGCTGCAAAATGACTGGTTGTTATATACTGTCAGAACGTCATCCCGTGCCCTTGGCGACGCCCTACTGCAGCCTTATATACGGGGGGGAGAAGAGGTGGGAGTGGGGGAGGAGGCAACGAACAAGTTTCGCCGTCGCTTCAAAGTATTAGCTTTCCGATTAGGCGGCTTGCCTACTCACTCTCGTGTGCAGCCCTAGGTTAGCATCCATCGGGGGGTTTGTTCACTCAATAAGCTTCCCCCCCTTCCCAGGACGCGGCATCGCATGTGCCAGAAGCAGGTTCGAAGTAAAGTCCTAATACCAGTCTGTCTCTCTGCCCACCGCCCACTTGACGGTTCGAAAGGGTTGTCATCTTAGGCCTCGCGTTCACCCTTCGCGCCCCTCTCCGATACGTCAGCCCGCGCAGCTGGGATTCGCCAAGATTGAGTCGAGATGATATGGCCCCGTCGCGACTCCATGCATCAATGAGGCTTTTCCCCTTTTCGGAACGGTATCGTCCCAGAGTGTCCGGAAGAGAAACCTTGACCGATCCTCTCTATTCTTTAAGGCATTGTTTGCGAGGCGCCCAGAGATAAAGGCAAATCCTGATGTCCACCCTCCCCCCCTCCTCTCGGAGGATGCCGGTGCGCGGCAGGGATGGGCTTGGCGTGACAGCGTCGATCCGAAACGGCCCGCTCACTTTAAGTCGGCATCCACCACGGTGCCTGGTCTGTTCTCGGCATCGGCGCGCTTTAGCGCGCCGGGATGGCGGGAAACTCAATCCGGTTCACTTGTAAGCGCATGGCAAAGGTTGGGTGGTGGTCAGTTGCGCCTCTGCTTAGAGATGCCACGCACGGCGTATATAGCCAACTACCGTCCACGCCGTCTCTGCCGTCTCTGCCGTCGAAAGGTTCAGTCATACGACCCTGCTTGAACACATCTCAATTTGCAAACAAACTGGCCAAGAGAGGGAGTCGGTCAAGATGCGAATAAGTATACGTTTTGATATTAGCCACGGGGTATGTCGCTCGATATCCAAATTCTTATCTTCATTCATATTCCTATCCTATATCGGTGAGGTATCATCTTCGTCGTTGCGCCACTCCGAGCGCTTATATCCGAACTCATCCTCGAGAGCATCGCAGGGTTGCGTTTTCCCTAGTTGTAAAATATGAGAAAGAAGAAGAGGAAAGGTAAGATTCCCCAGCCGACTATACCCTCGGCTCATATACAACGCCATCGCTATGCAGTGTTTTTTCTGCAGATGAAAAGCAGAAACATCAAGAGCAGGAAACCCCAATGTCCATCCTAGATTTCCCCCTACATGGACGCAGACAATCGATCAAAAATGGCCTGATAAGCAACGCTGGGACGCGCGCTTAGAAGAAGAAAACGGCGGCGGCGAAGAACGCAACGAGCGCGCCGGTCTCCATGCCCGGCGCCCGGCCGGCCGACTTGCCGCTGCTCGAGCTCGCCGTCGCGCTATTGCTACTGCTCCTGCCCGAAATGTCCGACTCGGAGAGGCCGTTGAGCGAGTCGGCCGTGTCAACGGCAGGGCCTCTGTTGAAAAAGTCGACAAGAACGAAGACGGGCTTGACGCCCCACTCCCTCCTGCACGTCTGCGCGTGTAGACCCAGGTTACCGGGGGTGCTAGTGCTGGGCGAGTTGGTGGTTTCGATGTCACTGACGTCCGGGATGAGGATGTCGGCAGCAAGGATCTGGTACTGGAAGTGGTTCATCAGGGGCAGCATGTTGGCCGAGACGGCGGCAGTGGCGGCGGAGAAGGTCGAGGGGCGGTCGATGGTGCAGTTGAAGCCCGAGGGGGTAGTGACCTCGTAGTGGGTCTCGAAGACGTAGGCGAACTCGGGAAGGAGGTAGGGGTAGTTGGTGTCGGGGGTGATGGAGGCGACAAAGGTGACGAGGCGGGTGTCGGCGTCGATCATGCTCTGCAGGGTGGGCCAGTTGGAGGTGGCCGAGGCCGAGGAGGGCTTGTAGCCGTACTTTGAGATGCCGGACGACTCAAAGACCTGGCCATATGCCGAGGCGGGCTGGTTGTCCGAGTTGACGAGGAGGATGGTGACGACGTCATTGGTGTGGTTGTCCATCCAGTTCTTGATGGAGGAGAGCCACTTCTCGAGGGTGCCGGCGTCGAGTAGGCTGCAGGTGGTGTGGCACAGCTGGAGGGCGCTGCCCGAGGAACCGTTGACGACGTGGACCTGGGCTTGGAGCAGGCGAAGACCCGAGTTGAGGGCGACTGTGGCGTCGAAAAACTGGTTGCCGGCGATGGAGTTCTGGGTGCTGGCGTCGCGGAGGAAGGCGCTATCGTGAGCGCCCATATATGTGATGTTGTTGTACTTGCGGTTGCAGAGCACGGGCGAGTTGTTACAGGGGGTCGTGTTGGAGGACGACTGGGCGTAGACGGTCACCGTGGAGGCGAGGAGCGCCGCGAAGGCTTTGCGAAGTGAGAAGACCATGGTGGGAATGGTGTGTCTGCGTTTATCGGTGTTGCGGTATGTGTACGAGGCTGCACTCGGAAACGCCTGATGGACCGACGACTCGAGAGCGGGATACGTCGTCACCTAGATAACCGTCGAGAGACGATCGGCGGGGGTGGTTGTTGTTCTGCACCAGGCAGGCACAGCAACGACAATAACGAGGCGGTTGGCCTGAGGTCGAAAAAACAAGGCAACAGAAAATGGCGAGGTCGGAGAGATGGAGTCGGGTCGGGATGAGAGGAGGCTAAGCGAGGAGGGCAACAGGGGACGGCAACGGCAGCGACAGGCGGGATGTTACCGGACAAGGTAGGCAGGAGACGATCCAAGACGGGCGGGTCCTCAGTTACCTAGTGTAGAGCTGACGAAAGAGAGACAGAGAGAGAAAAAGAGGGCGGTTATGATGTGTTCCCGTTCCCATGGACAGGAGCAGTGCCGGATCCCCCAGTCTTAATATGCATGGCACAACGAGGGAGGATGCGCCGCCGTCATCCATGGGGGCCAAGGAGAGAGGAAACACCCAAGTGTTTCCTCGCTGCTCCTCGCCATCCCACTAGCGTACGTGTACGGATACCGGCCCCGGTATCCCTACCTTACGTGTCCTCCGATGGGGCTGAAGGAAGGAATATCAGACAAGACAAGACGTGAGTTGACCGAGTGCGTGCGGGTTTCCAGTGTGGAAGAGTATCAACCAAGGGAACGAAGCTGGGGGAAGACAGACGTGCGGCAGAGTCCCGACGTCCTTGGACCCCGTTGGTTGCGTGGCCCCCCCCCCCCCCCCCCCCCCCCCCCAGTCCCGCCCTCCCGTTCCTGGCGGCGGGACTTCCGGGGCGTATGAGCGGGCTGCGCGAAGTCGCAAGCTGGATTCATAGCATGGCCCCCTCCTTTTTTTCTTCTTCTTCTTTCTTTTTCTGTTATTACCTTCTTCCTTGTCGTGAATCAACGATTGGCATGTTGGACCCGTTCAACGCTAGCCACTCTCTTTTCTTAACCCCACTCCTAATGACTGTTCCATGATGGTCTTTGCGTACGGCTGGCTGGGCTTGTATCGTGGTTAGGCATCTTATTGGAAGATGGGGGTCCGTAGACGTAGTGTAGACAGATGTATGTGCGTACATCTCACCTCACTCACAGACTTACACAGCCCCAGTCGCCCCCCTCAACACGACCTTCGTCCGAACCGCGCGTTGGGTCCAAGTCCGGGTCAGCAGAAGACGTGCAGGGAGAGCGACGTTTTATCCAACGCCGAGCACCGTCGAATCACGTTGCAAATGGGCCCTTCCCCAAGACGTCTCCGACGGATACTGCGACCTCCGCCCCCTCCGCCCCCTCCCCCCCTTCAATGCTCGCCTAGTGCAGATCCGGGACGTTGAACTCGGTACTTTATACAAGGAAAGGACGCCGCCTTACATAGAGTGCTGCGGCTGCCTTTGGTTGCTGCGCAGTAAGCCCGAGACCATGCAGACCGGCAAGCCTTGTGCGTGTGTGTCACCTTTTACCTGGCACTTTTTTTTTTTGCCCACTACTTGCTTCCGCCCGTCAAAGGGCCAACTCCACGGACATGAGACAAGTCCCTCCCTCAGCCCAGAGAGAACGAAACCAACCAAGAGGGATACCCAGTCTCTGGCCAAGAATCCCAGTCTGCTAAAAAAAAAAAAAACAATACCCCCCCCCCTCTCTGTTAGCGGCGAGGCTTCTTCGCCTCTCGCCCACCACGTTGTTCCCCTCATCGAGCCGTTGGAAAAAGGCGCGAGGCAGTGCGGGATGAGCGAATTCGAGACCGCATCCGGGCCTTGTTGACAAGTACTTGCGCTTGTGCTTGATGCTTAGTGTAGTCGGCGCATGGGCCAAGACGGAACGTTGGTCTTGAATAAAATGAAATAAAAAAAAAGTGAAAAAATAACACGAGAAAATAAGAACATGAGAAAGGTAAGGCTTATACAAAATAGTGTGTCCGAGGTTGCAAACGTTTCTCTTCTTCGTCAGGCAGGGGGGGACTCGATGACGTATTTACTGGTCGTCCCGGTCGCGGGCAGAGAAGCCTGTTTTTCATTATTTTTTTTCCATCTCTCTTCCGATGGTGAAAACATCATCAGTGCATGGCGGATGTACCTTTGGAACCGGGGGGAAAGTGAAATGAAATAAACACAACCCGCCTTTAACCCCTCCCCGACTGGCGGTGGTTGCCCGGCCGGCCAGGCAAAGCAAGCTGTTCCAAAATCTTTGACGGGTTTGGCGGCGGAAGGGAAAAGACTGGAGAAGCGAGAAGGGGGCCATGGCGAGCTCTGATGCCAACTTGCGGTGTTGATCACACAGGAGGGAGATCAACCCGGGTTCGGATGGACGTTTGTACCAACTACCTACCTTGTGGTGCGTATACGTATCTACCGAATCTTACATAACCAACCAGCACAGCACAGCAGCTCCTCCAGCTTGCCCAGCCACGAAAGCCACGAAGCCACGAGCCCCGTCGCCGCGTCCACGGAACGGGCCCAAGAATGCCAATCGATTTGGGGGACCCGGCGGGAACCAAGTGCCGCGCAGGGGTCGACGGGAAACAGGAAAGAAAACGGGCCAAACAAGAAAGCTCATTCATCCCCCTCCCCGCCGTCGTCATCACCCACCGCTTTTGCCCTGCGCCTCCTCACTGGACGGCAGATCCTTCGCTTTACCTGCCAACCGTCTGTGCCGTCCAAGGCAGGAGGGCAGTGTGTGTGTAGTGCATGCAGTACCGACACTAGCGTATATCCATCGTAGGTACCCCACCAACCAACCCCCCGCCCCCGCGACGATCACCTCTGGTTGCTATTTTTGAAACTTGGGGTTTTTTTTTTGTCTCTTAGTATCTTGTCACTTATCGCCGTCACTCTGCCGCCACCTCGTTGTTTCCGTCCCCCTAAAGACTGACGAAGCGAATAGGCAGGCTGAGAGATATGCTTAGTTTTTTAGATTTCTATCTTGGGCTTTTATTTTTTGAAAAAAAAAAGATAAAAAAAAATCTCTATCCCGGAAGAATCGGTTTCCCCATGCCCTTTCGTTCTCTATTGTCTGGACTCACGACTGGCCAGCACGCGCTGCATCTCGGGGGACCGTGTCCAACGCCTCGTGATGCGCACCCTTTCTGACCCTGGGCCCCCCCCCCCCCCCCCCCCCCCCGTGTGAAACGTACCAATACGCGTCTCCGGGGCCAAGTTGCCAAGGTGCAAGAACGAAGCGGCCCCTAGAAAACGCGCACAATGAACGCCCTTGTGATTATGAAAAGGAAGTAAAAGTAAAAGAAGGACAAGCAAGAACTACCAGCTAGTTGGCATCCCAAGTCCGGGGCGGCAAACCCAGGCCCCCCTCGTCCGCCTTACCTTCGCCTCCTTCGCCGGGCTTCTCTGCTCTCATGGCGCGTGGACCGGACGCACGAGCATCTCGCCTCCGCGCGGACTCTCAGTTCATCACTTCTGTCCTCCTCCCCCTCCTCACGACAACTGGCACCGACGCCTTGGGTGAACTAGCCCCAGGGCTCCGAGGCCAAGCAACTGCCATGCCCGTCATGTCAAGCCACACCGACACACTCAATACACGTCTGACACTAACACACACCCTTCACCTCCTTCATCGATTCGCCAGTCAATGCCCTTGGCGCAACGCCTTTGCGCAGAAAGGGACACTGCCAAGCTCCATGCTGCAATGCTCAAACCGTATTCAATGCTCGCTCTCATTCTCGCAATTGTTTTTTTTTTCGTCGTCTTCTTCTTCTTCTGCTTCTTCTTCTTCTGCTTCTTCTTCTTCTTCTTCTGCTTCTCCTTCTCCTTCTCCCCCCCCCCCCCCCCCCCCCCCCCCCTTTTAAGGTTTTTGGGGCAGTTGCTATGATGTCGATAAAGCACAAAAGGATCTGCATTTCCAGGCTGCTTAATATGGTGAAATGGGCCCGGTGGTTAGAGAACACTTCGCACCCCAAGGCAATGCAGCGAATGCCTACCATGAAAGCGCGCCGTTTCGAGCGCGCTGTCGAGGCGCATATTGGGCAGGCCTTAGGCCTTTTCGGATGCCAACTCGCTCGCGCCAATGACAAGACCATCTTCGTTTTCATCAGTTGTTCATAATCATGTCTTCCGCAAAGCCCCTACACTCAGCTCCCGGTGCTCTGACCCTTTGCCATAATGCTCTAGCTCGGCCCAGCCCCAGAGCCCAAGTCCACACCTCTTTGGCTTTCACCCCTTATTCGGGGTCCGCCGCGAAGCCAGACTCCGATCCGGCCTGGGCCGCCTCCATGTCCTTGAGCGCCTTCTGACCCTCCTCCGTCGTGGCGTCGATGATCTGCTCCTCCAGACTCAGGATGCCGGCCTGGCGGTCCATCATCTCGTCAGCATGTACTCGGTCAAACCTTGCAGAAACAAGGGGTATGTGTGTGTGTGTGGGGGGGGGGCATCACTTACGTCACCTAGCTTGCCGACAATGTCCTCGGCCTCGTCGACCTTCATCTTGCCAAGCACCTCGTTGACCTTGTCCAAACTACCGCTCTCCAAAGCCCTTTGGAAGTCGGGGCTGAAACTCTCGAAAATCTCACGTCCCTGCTTGGTCGCCGGGTCCTCGCTGTCCTTGGGCGGGATCGTAATCTTGATCTCCGTGCCGGGCTCTACCGCGTGCAGCTGGATCTGCTCGACGCCCTCGGGCTCGTTGGCGCGCTCCTTGACAATCTCCCGCGCCCGGTTCCTGATCTTGCCGTACGTGTCCTGGACGTCTTTGTAGAAGACCTCCTGCGCCTGGTGACCCCGCGTCGTGATGCGCTTGAAGAACATGCCGACCCCGTCCTTGCCCAGCGCGCGGCAGTATTGCAGCAGCAGCGCCTGGTGCACGCACTGCCGGCAGTAGTCGTCCTTGCCCTCGAGGGCGGCGTCGAACGCGAGGACGAGGAGGCCGTCCGTCTCCCGCTCCGTCAGGATCTGGGGGTTCTTGGACAGGTATGATAGGCTAGACGTGTAGTCGTCGGCCTTGATCTGGGCAAACGCCTTGGCCGCCGGGGACGCCTCGATCTCCTCGTCGTCGTTGTGCGACGCCGTTGACTTGGCCGGGATAGACTGCGTCATGTCGAAGTTGGGGTTGAGGAGCTCCGGCTTGCGCTCCTCCTTCTTCCCCGTATCCTGGGACTTGTTGACGTGCGAGCTGTCAAAGCCCGTGTGGATGCTCTCGCTCGTGATCTTGCGGCCCTCCTCCTTCTCCAGCTCGGCCAGCTTGGCGAACAGCTCCTTCTGCAGGTTCTGGACCTTGGTCAGGTGCCCCTCGACGCCCTCGAGCATGGCCTGGTACCGGTTCTCGGGCTTCTTCTCGTCGAGCTCCTTGTTCACCTGGTCCAGCAGGACAGCCATCATCTTGGAGAAGGTGGGCAACGGCTCCGAGTCGGCGTGGATACCCTCGGGGCGCGGGGGCGGCTGGTCGTCTTCGGGCTTTCCGGCCGACTCCATGACGGCCCGGAAGGCGACCTCGCCCGGGTTGCGGGTCTCAGCCTCGGAGGCATGGGACTTGAGGGCGTCGAGCAGGTTGGATATGCGCCTGATCAGGCCATCGTTGATGATACGCTCGTACTTGAGCGTCTCGATTTGGTGCTTGCGCTGAAGTCGTTCCTGGTGGATCTGGTTCTGCTTTGCTCGGATGAAGGATCGCTTATCGACGTTGGGATGGACTTCGATGTCCGAGTCGTCGCTGAGCTCCAGCGCGTCCTGTGGTGTTTACAAAGTCAGCACGCTTGCGGTCGGGCGGGTATTGTATGCAAAGACCACATAAAGAAGAAACAGCAATTGTGAAACGTACCCATTTACTGTAGTCGACAGGCATCTTTGACAATGGTTCGCGTTGTGATGTGTAGATGCTTGATTGCCTGCAGCTGGTGCGGGCCTCGATTATTGACGACGAACTTTGGAACAGTATTGGTTGTGGTGTGGAATCTTCTGGATTCTGTTTGACACCAGCCGCTGTTTAGCAGGAGCTGGGTGACGGTGTAGAGCCAGTATGGAGCATCACAAGTGCGGGGCATTACCCCGCCGTCAGGTGCTGTGTTTGCACCTGAGCTCAGCTATGAGGTCAGCAGGGGGCCACAGTCATTCATTACCTCTCAGAACCTAGCTTCAGTACTCTTCGTAGTCGCCTAGGCTTCCAATATCCCCAGAAAGTCACAAAGAATAGACCTGCGCCTTTTTGTCCTCACAGCTTTGCCTCATCAGACCGCTCTCAGCAATGGACACAATAGCTAGATAAGGCTGTGCACAAAACAGGAAACTGCAGTCCAACCAAGTGCGCAACACAGGTCACCAGCATTGACAGCCTTGCATGGGATTGTTATGGCTTTGTGGTGAACTTTTGATTCATGAATGTTAACGCACCCTGCACACTCATCTGCCTCCTTCGTCACGACTCTCTCTAGTCTCCTGAGCCGTATAACTACTAATATCATATGGTACATACGTTCCAACACACTATTCGTTATGAGTACACTGCTTGCTGCGTGGGAATAAATGGGAGGTTTGTAGCCTCCGTGACTTGAGAGAGCATCCCGAAGCTCTCGTGTCTAAACCAGACGCCAATCCAAACTCCATACGCATGCTTTCCCCAGAACCTCTTGCTAGCTCGTTCCGGTGGTGGGTCGGCCTTCTACTGCATCGTCTTTAGGAACCCATCCAGATCGAAACTCTCCTCGTACTGGCGGTTGTCCCAGAGATCGCCCAAATCATCAAGCCAGGCCTTCTTGCCGGGCTGTTTGTTCGTAACAACGTCACCCGTTTCAATGTCCACCATGTCTTCCTCTCGTCCTTCCATCACGTTTTGTGGCTTGTCCGATATGAGACCAGGTCCCGTGTCTCCCAGGTTGAAGAGGTCGAGAATCTGATCTGTATCCATCGTGGCCAAGCCAGCATTCTGTTGATTGACCACCGTCGAGGCCACGTCGATCTTGAAGCGCTGCAGACTGAGAATCTTCTCCTCGAGCGTGCCTCTGGTGACCAGACGGTACACGTTGACGACCTTCTTTTGGCCGATTCGGTGGGCCCGGTCCATGGCCTGCATATCCTTCTGGGGGTTCCAGTCGTGTTCGACGAAGATGACCGTGTCGGCACCGGTAAGGTTGAGGCCAAGGCCTCCGACACTGGTGGTCAGGAGCAAAACATCATATGACGGATCGCTGTTAAACTTGTTGACAATGTCTTGCCGCTTGTTGGCTTCGACTCCACCATCCAGGCGAAGGTAGGTAACGCCAGGTAGCATGCTCTTCAGGACTGTGTTTTGGACCATGTCCAGCATCTCCTTCATCTGGCAGAAGACAAGAGCGCGATGCGGCTTGATCGGCTGGTACAGCGGGTCGTTCGACTCGGCTTCTTCCACGCCAATGCCGCAGTCAACGAGCAAGTCCCTGAGGGCGGTCAACTTGGGTGCGTGAACAGGATCCTCGAGACTGGTTCCCTGCTTCCTAAGGATGCGTTGAGTCTCTTCGTACATGCCGTGACCAGGCTTCATAACCATGGCCGGGGAGTTGCAAAGCTTCCGCATGTACTGCAGGGCCTGGAAGATATGCGACTTTGCATCCTTGTCTTCGCGGCCCGCCTCCTCCTGCAGCTTCTTGCCTTGTTTCCGGGTGAAGTCGTCGAAAAGCTTCTTCTGGAGGTCGCTAAGATCACAGTAGTAGTTCTGCAAGATCTTCGGCGGCAGGTCGTCGAGCACCTCCTCCTTGAGACGTCGCAGGAGGAAGGGAAGGACCTGCTTGTGAAGGGCCTCTATGGCCAAGGCGCCCGCTTCCTGTTCCTTTGAAGACGCCTTGCTGAAACGACTTGCAGCAATAGGCTTGGCGAACCTGTCCAGGAAGACCTTCTCAGCGCCAAGGAAACCAGGCATCAGGAAGTCGAAGAGAGACCAAAGTTCCAAGACGTTGTTCTGGATGGGCGTGCCGGTCAAGATTAGCCGGTGGTTGCTTGCTAACTTCTTGACAGCGATTGTGATTTTTGCCTTGGGGTTCTTGATTAAGTGTCCCTCATCTAGAATGACGTAGTTCCAGTTGTATTTTGCGAGAACTTCCGCGTCATTTCGGCAAACGTCGTAGCTGGTAATGACGATGTCGGTTTTGTCCAAGCCGTCCTTCATTAACTTTCTCTCGGCAGGTGGGCCGACGTAAGCCGTAACGCTGAGGAAGGGCGCGTAGGTCTTGATCTCCTGCTGCCAATGACCGGACAGCGTAGGAGGGCAAACAACCAAGGACGGGAGCCGTCGTACATCGGGCGCACCAGTCTTTGCAAACTCCTCTGCACGCTGATGGTGGTCACTTGCTACCATGCAAATGGTCTGCAAGGTTTTACCGAGACCCATGTCATCGCAAAGAATTCCGTGCAAGTGATATTTGTTGAGGAAGTGTAGCCAGTTGACACCTTCTTGCTGGTATGAGCGAAGTTCGGCCTTGATTGCGACCGGGATCTGGAACGATTCCACCTTCTTCGGGTCCAAGAGCTGTGAGATGAACGTTCTTTCGCGATCTCTGCCCTTGAGCAGCTCTTCCGACAGACCCGGGGGGTCGGGAATGCCGGCTTCAAGGGGTACGAGTTTGACGAGGGTGGCAAACGAGGTTGTCGCAATCAAACGAATCTCGTTATCGGAGTCGCTCATTCGGCCCAGAACTGGGACGATGAGGAAAATGACATAAGGAAGGATGGCATCGCCCATGACTGCAATCAGGTGGTAGATGGCCTCGATAGCACCTTGGCGGAAGTTGAGGTCAACGGGGTTGCTGATGGATGGCAATACATTCTCGACGAGCGCTGTCATGCCCTCGACTGTGATGACACTGCAGATGGTAGCCATACACTTTGCGGCCATGTAGCGGAAGACGGACAGCTCGCAATGCAGGGCCTTGATAACTAATGGCACCTTCTCCATGATGAATGGATGGATGGCCTTGTCGAGGGTTGGCATGAGAGTCCGGATGAGGGACAAAGCGTCGACAATTTCTTGGCCAAAGTTGTTCTCAGGATCCCTTGCTTCGGCCGGCAAGGGGCCAGAGAATGCTTTGACAAGAGGGTCCTCCATAAAGACTCTGATCGTGGGTACAGCGATGAGGAGATCTGCACCGTAGGTCTGAGCCAGGATCTCCAAAGCCTCCTTGGCTCCTCGGCGGGTGATGCGAGCGGCCTTGACTTCCCTTGCCCACTTGACAGCATCTGCATGGTCCACGCGGTCCTCTTCTTTCTGCATTGAAAGCACGCAGTCTGTCTTGCTTGCGTGAACAGGGAACTCGGGGGTCTCCGCAACCTCGACACAAGAGAACTTGATCAAGTTGGAAACAACCTTGTCTGCTGGTCCACGACGGCCCTTCTCGTTGAACACTTGGACAAGTCTTGCAATGGTACCTGAGGCCCGGCTTTGAAGCTCCTGGTTCTCTTCTGTCTTGATGCTGTCCATGATACCCTTGATCAATGGGCTGGGTTTCTTGGGCAAGGCCTTGATTGCAACTAGTGCGCATGCCGCGCCCGCTCTGATGCGTACATCTCGGGAGTCCTTGGCCGCCTTTGCGTCGGCAATGGCCGAGACGGCTACATCTCTGGCCTCACCAAGCATTTGACTGGCTACCAGACGCTGTCCCGGAGACATGACCTTCTTCAGCTTTTCGAAATCTTCACCAACAACCTTGTCCGCGACAGCAATAGAAAAGGCGCCGGGGCCTGCCTGCTCGTCGCCTTGGACGAGGACGGCAAGCGTTGGAAGGCGTCCGCTTGATACCTTGCCGTGGTCGCGGAACATGTTGAGAAGCTGTTGGCATTGCGACCGTACCCTGTGCATGTAGCTAACGAGATCGCTGTAATGACTGGGACGTTCCGTCTCAATGATGGTTTGTAGGGGTGCCGCGAATCTTTGCGCAGCCTCCGTCGTGGGTCCGTTCTTTGCATACTCGTCAATAACCATGCAGGCTGCTAGCTGTGTGGAGGACGCCTTGTCTGATAGACCGGCAAGAAGAAGCTGGTCATATTCAGAAAGGTTCGACGGGGGGATGAAGGACATGATCAAGCCCATGGCCTTGGCTGCCGATACGCGCGAACGGATTAGCGTATCCATGCCAACCAGGTCCACATCACCTTGAATCATGTGACCATCAACGTCGTGTGTATGCGAGGTAACGGGAACGTCATCCGTCTTTGTGGATTTGCGACGGCGCTTGGTTGCTCTCTCGGGGCCCTCGGGAGAAGATGCTTTGCGGGCGGGCGTCGCTGCGACGGGCGCATATGTTCCGCCCGAGGGCTTTTGGAAAAGATGGGCGGGCATGGGCAAGGGATGCCTTGACACGCCGATTGGGTGCAGTGTAAGCTTCATCAAAGGCTCCACGTGAGCGGCGAACTCGTCAGCCAAGATATCAGGGGTCTTCGAAAACGAGCGAACTAAGGCCGTCCAAACGTCCAATGACATGGCCAGTGTCTCTCTATCCCGCTCGACAATAATGTTTTGGAAAATGAGGCGCAGAATCCTCCCGTTAAGCCATCCGCGGGAGTTTTCGGCGCCCAAGTTTGCAAAAGTCATGAGAGCCTTCAGCACGGCTAAGCGAACAGAGGTAATGGTGTGTCGGAGGAAGGGATACAGGCGCGGTACCAACAAGGTGAAGGAGCGCTCTTCGTCTTGGGCGGCAGACGTCTCCATGGCCTGGAGCACCTCGGGGTAGCTGCAGAGGGTGGCGAGAAGATCCATGATCTTACCAGTACTGGCGCTCAGGTCATCTCCCAGATCGGCAAGACTTCCCCACATGATGTTGATGAGGCCGTCAATGGACCCGGGCCGCAGGGTGACAAATTCCTTTGCCATGGGCAGCAGTGTCGCGGCACTCACCGACCGCACATCGTCGTCGTGCTCTTCCAGCCCCTTCATGACCAGGCGAATGACCCCATCGATCATCTCATTGTCCTCGAGTAGCAGGTCCTTCCGTACGGCAACGACGTATCTCAAGCCGACCATGCCGCCGTGACAGACGGACCACTGGAGCATGTCTAGGTGCAGATCGTCCTGCATAACCATGCCATATAGAATTTTGTAGATGCCGTGGACCGATTCTGCCGGGATATGTCGCAGAACCGAGCCAAGAGATTGGCCGATGGTTTCGCGGATTGGGGCGACGGACGTGTCAGAACTGTAATCGGTAAATCTGTCCAGCATTAGGACGCAGCAGAGTCGGCAGGCCAGGTCGTCCAGCCAAGCTTGGTTTAATCGATCGTTTTCAGCGCGGGACTTGGAGCGTATTCTGCCAGCTCCACCGCCGTGAACACGAATAACCTCTCGAATGCCCATCGCAGCTCCATGTCGAGTCTCCCATGAGGGGTCGAAGAGGTCAACCTTGAGGAAATCGCACAGTCGCTCGTACGGCCATTCGGCACCTTCCATGGTTTCGTCCACCTCGATTTCGGATTTGATGGGTATCACTTGCCCCTTGAACTCGCTGACAACCTTTGAGTCTTCGTCGACATCCGCCGGCCTCTCCAGGTTAAAATAGTCGTTCACTTTTCCATTCTTCTGCTTCGAATCGGCGTCCGCCATTGGTGTTTCGTCGAATCCTTCGGAACCTGCTGTCGTGGTTCTTCTCACGGTCAGATCCCCAAAGCCGCCCTTTCCTTGTGCCGCCTTTTGCAGCTCTCTCTTCCGTTTCCTCTTGAGGACGTTGAGCTGCCTGGAACTCAAGCCCGCCTCCTCTGTCGTCTGATGGTGCCCGTGAGAGGTGGCGCTTTCCTTGCTTCCGTTGTGACCATTTGTTGAGTCCTGGGGGGTGAGCGGGCTAGCATCCTTCTCGACGAGGACCGGCATCTCGGCATCCTCGAACACTCTGCCGAGTAGACCGAGGCGTCCATTAAGTGTTTTCTTCTGGTGGGCAAGTCGTGCGGGAGGGTCTAATGAGGCCAAAGCATACTCGATATTGCCACCCCGCAGGAGCTGGCGGCCATATTTGACAATGTGCTCTACATTCAGCGACTCCAGCTTGAGAAGCTCGTTAGAAGAAAAGGACGCCGTCTCTTTTTCTTCCTCCTTCTTCACGTGGCCGTTCTCCTCGGCCTCGTCCTTCTTGACCGGCACGACGTCCTCATCCTCATTCGGGTCATACAAGGGCGCATTCTCAATGATCTTGCCTATTGCTTTGGCTGCGGTAGAACGTGTCTCCCAATCCTTGTGTCGAAGATAGGGGACGACCCTGGCAAGAAGATTGAAGAGCTCATCAGGATGCTGCTTTTGCCAGTCGGCAAGTTGGTTGACTGCGGTGTCACGAATCAGGCGGGTGCTCCCCGTTTCGAGAATCCTGCGCGAAGCGATTAGCAGACTGCTCTAGAGAGGATGAGCATATACATCGTCTGGCGCGGCGGCATAGCCCAGCGCTCATAAAATGGTCATCGTCGCAGCTGTGCCCGGGTCGGACCATGAATGAGATGAGCCAAGCAGGGATGTTTGCCTCCCAAGGATGTGTGGGCTAGAGGGCATGTGATTGAACTCACGTGACTAATCTGTCAAGTCTGTTGCCGCAAGGTTAGTGCCAGTTCTGGGCTGATCGGGGGTGGGTGATCATGCAAGGATCACAGGGAGAAACACACCTCGACGCCATTTTGTATTATGATGAATTTGATGAGTGTTTCATCATCGAATTGAGCTTCTACGTGCGGAGTTAGCCAAGTTGCCGTGGTTTCGAAGAAAAGTGAAGGAACTCTGGTGTTGGGTGCATGAGCGCATGGATGAGACGTAATGTAGGAAGGAGGGTCTTGGAAGTTTAAACACGTGGGTGTATGCCATCCCGTCACGCCCAAAACAGAGATGATGCACTTTGGGTGAAGACTGAATCATGACAGCCGCGGGAAAGCGGCATCCACGTTGAGATGATCTCGATAGCCAGAGGGCACTAGATGTGCCGGTCCGAGACATACCATAACGGATAGGTGACAGATGGGGATGATATGAATGAAGCGGATGGATGGATACGGGCATATCGGGGCAGACAGAGCAAATGCGCTTGCCTTGAACTTGGGGTACGTACCAAAAGTTGGGCAAGCGGGTAACGGCGATGGGGCCGGATGCGAATCGCGATCCCGTCCACTGTGGATCAGGGCGAGTCTTGGTGCAAAGACGCGACTACCATGCATGCATCAGAACCAACGAGGATCCAGACGGTGCCGTCGCGTCGTGTCGGCAGCTTCGCTGCAAGCGAGTTTTGCAATTTGGGGCGCGAAATCGAGGGGGGGGAAAAGAAGTGTAGAAGACGTGGAAAGTGGCCGACCCAGAACCTGATCGAAAGGGCGATGGAAGTCGTGGATTGTTGCTGGGTTGTTGCACAAAAGTGGTGCGAAGCTGAGAAGCCGCCGGGTCGAGAAAAATAAGAAACAAAGCAACAGAATAAACGACGCCTATAAAAAGGGTGAGGCTCAGAACGATAGGATGAGAGAGAGGGATGACACCTCAAGTGGGAAGGAAGAGGCGCGCCTAGATATGGACAATTGGGGATTGGGGATTTGGGGAGGGGATGCGGTGCCAGCCAGGTGCGAGGACGGGAATGTAGTGCGCGATGCGGTGCGCGTGGTGCCTGCCTGAGGTACGTATGGATGTATGGGTGGGGGGAGGCAGAGAGAGAGAGAGACCAACGGAACTTACCTCGATGAGCTTGCGAGTGTCAGTGCCTGAGGTGGATAGGTAGGTGTGTGGCCTTGGAAACCGGGCGCGTTTGGTGCCTATGGTGCTGACCAAGATGGCAAGACGAGCCAATAAAGCGCTAGGGTTGATGGGGTCTCGTCAAAGGGGTAGCACTTTCTGGCAGCGCGGGACGTCGCTCTGGAGGGAAATTTTGGGGTGGAGGGGCCCGGACAGTCTTAAAGGCATGCCTGCAGTACTTTTATAATTACCCGTGGGCCCGTGAAAGAAAAAAAATGGAAGGAAAGCCAGCCAGCCGTTCCTTCACCCAGCGACGGCGCCTCGCTTAATCTGCTTAGCGTCGTCTAGCGTCCCTGGTCTGCCTCCACTCCCCAGCAAACAAGAAACCCTGTCAGGCCTGCCTGCAACCTGTCGTTGTAGTCCTCGCCAGCCGCCTGTCCGTGCCATCGTCCCTTTTCGTCCATCTCTTTCTCTGTCCCCTCTCTCCCTTTCGGAATCCCGTGCCATGTTTATCTGGGCTGGCGAACCTACGAGTACAGAACCTCTCTCTCTTTTCATCGACTTCCTACGACATCTTCATCAATTGCATCCATAATTCCACCCCCCCTTTGCCCTATAGAGGCCTGGCATCCATTCACTGGCACCTTATCTATTTTATTGCAATTACATTTCGCCTCTTCGATTCATCATCTATCCCGCACCACACCGACAGTATGCAACACTGCGACGAGCGAGTCACTGGCGCATGGCCGAATGAGGCAGATGGCAGATGAAAAGTTCAGGCAGCCTCGTTCGTCCTTCTCCCACTATCAGCGAGACACATGCGACCGCGCGCACGCTCTGGAACAGCTCCCAAAAACAAACCAAAACAGCTTGTTCACCACCGCTCTCGCTGACCCTCGGGGCTTTTCTATTTTGAGTTCCCCCCCATGTCTCTTGCTCTCTCTCTCTCTCTCTCTCTCTCTCTGTGAGATTCATCCCCACGCCCAATGTTCCCGTTCGGCACTTTCGAGAAATGGGGCCTCATCATCAATGACCGTGGCCAATTTGCTGAGGTGGCCAGGGCTAGCATTTTGATGCACAAGTGCCATTTTTCTGATTCCATCCCTTGTCCGTGAGACGGGTGTCGGGCTTAATTTGATGTCTCGTCTCTCTTGAACCCAAAAACCGTGAACGATACGGTACAGATTGGTTCCGGCTTTGTCTTCAATCAAGTCTTCCAGGCTGGAACTCTTTGGCAACGGCGACGAACCCAGGCTATACGTTGCCTTGAAGCAAGCTAAACGGATAGATCGGTCCACGGCTTTCTCAGCTGACACTAGGATCATCCCCAGGCCGGGCTACCCCTTGAAGACTAGTCTAAGCCTCCGCTACACACAGACAGGGCGACATCCTCGAATCGCCAGCAGCACTGGGCAGCGGGCAACCTCTCATGACCTTGTACCACTAGGAATTCCGACGATTAGGCTTCTTAGGGCAAACCGTGACTGGATGACTGGCTGCTTGGGATGGGTCAATTAATGACAGATGAGATGGATGAAAAAGCAACGGAGATGGCGGGCTGCAAGTGCAGCAAACCACGCTGGCGCGAGGATCATCGCAGGCATGCCGGTGCAGCTGCAACCAGTTCTGGCCGACGCCTTGAATGGGAAATAAGCTGGCTCGGCTGCCACAAAGACGTGGGGTAAGGTTGGGAATCTTGGCGTCGCCTCCCGGGGTCCCAAGGTTCTGGCGTTCCGGTGCCACGCCATTTCTGATTCGTCCTGGGTCATCAATGTCCAGCTCCCCAAAGACCTGACACTCCGCTGACGATGCCTCCTTGTGAACACCCTGGCGCATCCCTTTTTATGTTCTGACTGTGATGGCCTCAACTTCACCTCTGTTCGTCCAGCCTCACCCGTTCAGTTCATTCCTCGTGGCGTCAGGGTGACTTGCTGGAGGGTGTCTTACCCTTTCGGGTCCTTCGGGGGTTCTGGTCCCCTGACGCTTGGCTTTATTGCCATTTTTCTAGGTTTCCCCGGCAATGGATTGGGCAATCCAGAAACAGTTCATCAGCATGTACACGTCTGACCCGACTGGTTCGGAACTCGTCCCTGCACCTCCTGGTCTCGGATCCCGATAGACCGCTTCGATTCCTTTCTTTTCGTCGACACCTTACTCTCCAGCAACGTGGCCATCTCCGTCAACTGCTGAAAGCGTGTGTGCTCTGCATCGCCTTTTGTGGTCGGTGCGTATAGGTTCCCAGCGACTCGACCGGGGTGCATATGGGACTGATCCAGCTCTATCCATGTTGAAGCTCAAACTTGTTGCTAATCGCACTGTCATGAATGCCGCTGTTCGGCTCAGGCACACCGACACGCTCATACGATCGCCGCACATCACAGTTTTCTTTGGCCTCGGGCGCTTTAGACACAGACAACTTTGCATGCGCACAGGCGCATATAGAGGCCAACGCGGAAGTACCGGAACCGTTGAGGGTCTTCCTCTCGTAGTCCTTTCGGACAAGTGCGGGTTGACAACCATACCCACTTCTCCGCACCCAACGCTTGCCACGCGGTATCTCGATAGGTAGGTAGTGTGGCTGATTCAGGCTTCCTCGTTGCTCGAGGTACGCGCCAGTAGCTCTAAAGATTAATGCGGCGTGAGAGAACTTCATCAATGGCGCGATCAAGCCGTGTCTCAAACGAATGTGCCAAATGAGTGCCCTAACACTGTGGCATGTACGGATAGGATAGTGTGGACGCAAAAGGTTGTGAGTGAGATCTAAAGATTTCGCGACGTGCATGCATATTACCATCTATGCTTGAACTGATTGACTGGCAAATGACGGCTCATCAAGCCGGCTAAGGATCTGAAAACCTGGGTGGAGGCTGGTAGTAGAGCTTGAGAGTCTCCAACACGCACTAAGTGATGAGCGCTAGCTTCAAAGCCCTGGGCTAGCATCTTTCTAGTTGGACCAGAACTCCATGGCAATCAGAATCAGTGTCGATTGTTGAGAAGGACACAATGCCATGTTGGGCGAGTTTGAGAACAACAGAATCTATTCTTCATTCACGGTAACAATCCATCACTGCCATGTAGACCAGCAGAAATGTCAGTACCTAGCGCGACTTGGTTGACATGTGCGCGCGCAGTCACGTACAGTGCGAATAATTAGCACTGTGATATCGCACACTGCTAGCGGCTCACTTCATCCTCAGGCACGCACCACCTCTCAAATGGACGGGCGCACCCATTCTACCTACGCGCCGTGACCTCTCACGTCCGACGCGTCGCCTATCCCCACCACCACCAACAACGATCGGTCACGACTCCTCGCTATATCGATGAAAATATTGCGCGACACGCCGCGAATCCCTTTAGCGACTTCAAAAGCGCACACTTGCCGCCCTTGAGGCTGCAACCCCCTCCCCCACCATGTACATCAAGCAGATCATCATTCAGGGCTTCAAGAGGTGCGCACTTTGCGACAACCCTAACGCCTCGCACCCCCCCCTCCCCCCGCTGACTTGGTTGGTGATAGCTACAAGGAACAAACCGTTATCGAACCCTTCTCCCCCGGCACCAACGTCATTGTCGGTCGCAATGGATCCGGCAAGAGTAACTTCTTTGCGGCCATCCGCTTTGTTCTTAGCGATGCCTACACTCAGATGACCCGCGAGGAGCGCCAGGCGTTGTTACACGAAGGATCAGGATCGGCGGTTATGTCCGCTTACGTCGAGATTATCTTCGACAACAGCGACGAGCGCTTTCCTACGGGAGGCAAGGAGGTCATCCTACGCCGTACCATCGGAACGAAGAAGGATGAATACTCGGTCGATCGCAAAGTAGTAACCAAGAACGATGTCGTGAACCTGCTCGAAGCGGCCGGTTTCTCGAGGTCAAATCCTTACTACATCGTGCCCCAAGGCCGCGTCACCGCCCTGACAAACATGAAAGAGTCGGACCGGCTTACTCTGTTGAAGGAGGTCGCCGGAACCCAGGTTTATGAAGCGCGCCGAACGGAGTCGCTCAAGATTATGAACGAGACCAACAACAAGAGAGAAAAGATCGACGAGCTTTTGGGCTACATCAAGGAGCGCCTGGCCGAGCTCGAAGAGGAGAAGGAGGAGCTCCGTGGCTTCCAGGACAAGGATCGTGAGCGTAGGTGCCTCGAATACGCGCTCTACTATCAAGAGCAGCAGCAAATCCAGGAACAACTCGAGAGAATCGAAAATATTCGCCAAAGTGGACTGGACAACACCGACTCGATACGCGCGGAGCTCAAGGAGGCCGAAAAGATGCTGGCCAAGTTGGAATCCGAGATCCACAAGCTCACAAAGGAGACGGACCTGCTCAAGGTCGAGCGCCGTCAACTCGAGGAGGATCGTCGCGAGACTGCCAAGGCGAAGGCCAAGGCAGAACTCAAGGTAAAGACCTTGTCCGACGGTCAGTCGGCAGCCGTCCAAGCCCAGCAGCAACATGAGGCCGACCTCGCGGCGACCATTGAGGAGATTTCGGCAAAAAAGCAGGAGCTCAACAACGTCGTTCCGGAATACACGAGACGAAAGCAGCAGGAAGTGGAAAAGAAGCAGCAGTTGGATACGGCCGAAGCCGCGCGGAACCGCCTCTTCACCAAGCAAAGTCGCGGCTCCCAGTTTAAGAACAAGGCCGAGCGTGACAACTACTTGAGGGCGGAAATCGAGGATCTGCATTCTAGACTCATGAGCCACAAGGCGAACAAGATGGATGCCGACGAGGATGTTACTGCAACTGAGAGGTCGATCAAGCAATTAGAGAGTGACGTCGCCAACTTGAGGCAGCAGCTGCAAAACTCGGGCGGTGCTCGGAACGACCTGCTCGAGGAATTGAGCAGAGCGAGAGAGACACTGGACAAACTCGACGACGAGAAGAAGCTTCTATGCCGTGAGGAAGAGAAGCTCGATACCATCTTGCAGGATGCCCGACAGGAGAGGGACCGGGCAGAGCGCGAGTTGAGCTCTATGATGGACGGCGATACCGCTCGTGGTCTTGCCACGATCCGGCGGCTGAAGCACGACCAGAATATCCCCGGGGCCTATGGCACTATGGCGGAACTCCTCGAGGTCAGCGACACCTACCGCCTGCCCGTCGAGCAGATTGCAGGCAACAGCATGTTCCACTACATTGTCGACAATGACCAGACAGCGACCTACTTGACGAACCACCTTCGTACCCACTACGGAGGCAGACTTACCTTCATGCCTCTCAACCGCCTTCACCCAAGGCACATCACCATGCCCAGATCTCAAGACGGCATTGTGCCGCTCTTGAGCAAGATCCGCTACGACCCGATGTACGAGAAGGCCTTTCAGCAAGTTTTCGGCAAAGTCGTCGTGTGCCCCAACCTGAGCATAGGAGGCCAGTACGCAAGAAGCCACGGCGTCGACGCAATCACGCTGGACGGTGACACCACGAACAAGAGGGGTGCCATGACTGGTGGATACATCGACCCCCGGCGGTCCAGACTAGAAGGCGTTCAGGCTGTCAACAAGTGGCGAGACGAGTATGAGCGGCTCCTGCAGCAGTCTGATCGGATTAGGACCCAGATCGAACAGAAGGAGCAGGAAATCACCCGCGCCATGGGCGAGGTGCAGAAAGCCGAGCAGAAGCTCCGGCAGCTAGAAGCTGGATTCGAGCCCTTGCGGCACGAACTGGCCAACAAGAACGGCCAGCTCGAGCACGAGAAGAGACGTCTGAACGACGCCATCAGGCATCGCGAAGCGGTCGAGAGGGACATGAAGATATTCACGGAAAGTCTCGCCGCGAACGAATCCGAGCTTGCGTCCGACTTTAAGAAGTCTCTCAGTAACGCTGAAGAGAGGCAACTTGTCGAGCTGGACGCGCAGGTGCAGCGGCTCCAGAGGGAGTGGAACGAGGCCAGTAAGAAGCGCAGAGAAGCAGAGAGCCGGAAGCAGATCCTCGAGACAGACATCAACCAGAACCTCCAGCTGCGTCTGGATCAACTCAACAGCCAGGCCTTTGAGAACAACACGTCGTCTGGCGACTCCGGTAGCCTTAAGGAGGCCCAGCGGGAGCTCAAGAAGCTGCAGCGGGAAACCAACGCCATCGAAGCCAAGATCAAGGAGGTCGAGGCGAAGCTCGAAGAGCTGGGCGGCAAGCTCGACCGTCGCGAAGCCAAAAAGGCGGAGCAGGAGGAAATCCGCAGCACCGTCGCCGCGAAGGAAGCCAAGCAGCGCGGCACCATCGAGAAGAGCATGTCCAAGAAGGCGGTATATACGGCCCAGGCTGCTGACGCGGCTAAGGCCATCAGGGACCTCGGCGTCCTCCCCGAAGAGGCCTTTGACAAATACGAGAGGATGGACCCCAGACAGATCGACTCGAGGCTGAAGAAGGTGCGCAACGCCTTGAAGAAGTTCCAGCACGTCAACAAGAAGGCGTTTGAGCAGTACAACAGCTTCACCTCGCAACAGGACCAGCTCCTCAAGCGACGCAAGGAGTTGGACGCCTCGCAGGAGTCTATCGAGGAGCTCGTTGCCCACCTTGACCAGCGCAAGGACGAGGCCATCGAACGGACCTTCAAGCAGGTGTCCAAGGAGTTTGCCACCATCTTCGAGAAGCTGGTGCCGGCCGGTCACGGCCGTCTGGTTATCCAGCGCCGGACGGACCGTCGCGTCGACCCCGAGTCGGACGAAGAGCAGAACCGCGCCGTCGAGAACTACACGGGCGTGGGCATCAGCGTGTCCTTCAACTCCAAGACCCTAGACGAGCAGCAGCGGATCCAGCAGCTCAGCGGTGGTCAGAAGAGTAAGCGAAGCCCCGGTCATCGCGTCCTCCTTGCAATGTTAACAATCACTAACGTCCTACCCAGGTTTGTGTGCTCTGTGTCTCATCTTCGCCCTTCAGCAGACGGAGAGCAGTCCCATGGTCATCTTCGACGAGGTCGACGCCAACCTCGACGCGCAGTACCGCACTGCTGTCGCCAGTCTCCTCGAGTCCATCTCCCAGGAGGCCGGCACGCAGTTCATCTGCACCACTTTCCGGCCTGAGATTGTCCACATCGCCGACAAGTGCTACGGCGTCACCTTCCACAACAAGACGAGCTCCATCGACTGTGTCCCTACCGAGGAGGCCCTGAGCTTCGTTGAGGGCGTCGCTGCAGGGAAGTGAGACAAAAAACACGGCGTGGCGTGGAATGTGTTCAGCAATAACGGATTGGGGGTGGGGGTGGGGGGAGTGAGGTTGATCCTCATCGTTGATGGGGATGGTCTCTTGGCATGGCGTTGCGGCGACTTATTTGTTTGATATCACGATGTCTGGGTTGGGGGTCCGCCCCCCCCCCCTCTCTCTCTCTCTGGCCCTGTACCGTATGGTCTGGTGGAAATGACCGCTGGGCTTGGGGTTCTGGACAATTAGCTCTTCTTACGAATCATTATCGTCAACTCATTAAACGTTCCTCGTTGTCGCCCCGCCTCATGAATGCCAAGCCCTACACTGCCCCAGAGGGCCAACGTCGTTGCTGTCCATCCACTCAGCCTCGTCCACGACTTTTGGCCTTGGACCTGATGTCTCTGAGGAGGGAGGACACGCCACGCGTTGCGCGGTTCGCATCGAGTCCGCTTGGCCTCGGAAGAGCAACGCCCAGGAGAGTGGGAAGAGGCTGCTCTCGCCTCCTTCTCGTGATGCAATCCGGATCCTATTTTTATCTTGGTTGTCATTTTATCATGACGCCTCCGCAACTCACCAGCGCCCTTGAGCCGATCTTGGATCCGCGCCGCTATCTCTCCCTCCCTCTGTGTGCAGGAGATCCCACCCGGCAAACACGTCACGGATAGTGGCTGGGGGGACACATTCATTCTATGGAGATTGTATGTCGCCAAGGGTTTACCGCTCTTCCCCCCCCCCCAGAGTGATCTACGAGTCTACGTTGACAGGCTTGGTCCGTTCCTTGGCCGATCAGCCCTGTCAGCCCCCCCCCCCCCCCCCCAATGGTTTACACATCACACCTACACACACTCACAGGCGATCCATCTATTCATATAATGTCTGGGGAACCGTTCTCCCGGCATACGGAGGATGATCGTCGACCGGGTCGACTCACAACTGTTTTGCCGCCCCCGCCCCCCGGTCCGGCACTTTCCAACCACCTCGTCGCGCCCAATGCGAAGGGAAGGAGGGCGCAGAGAAGAAAAAGAAAATCATAGCAGGCATCCACCACCAGAAGCGGAGGGGGGCGTCAAAACGGAAACGGGCAACGGAAACCGGCCCCGCCTTGCTCCTCCTCCCCCGCGAAACCGGGGAAGTCAAGAGAAGGTAGAAAATAGCTTTGACACGACGGCGGCCAGGGGAGGAGGGTTGATGGAACATGGGGGCAGTTGCAGTTGATTTAGAGAGACAGGTCAAACAGGCACCACAAGTGAGCCATCCAATGACGGCCGACTTCCTCCCCCGGACCGGAGGTCGCATCGAGGGGGCGGGATATATGCCTTTGCTCAAAAGTCATGGCCTGCGATGAGACGAAGGGTCAGTGGAGGGGGTGGGGGGGTGACAAAAAGGACCCGGACCACACGAGAGAGGCAAAATTGGAGAGAAGCAGAGAAGGATAAGTCATCTGCTGGCATAGCCACTCTTGGCTACTCTAGCCCGGAGATCTGCAAGCCGACGAAGAGATGAGAGACATGGGGAAAAGAGAAAGACGAGGACGAAAAAACAAAGAATGCTTAGAAAGGCTCGTGAGGTCGGGAAGGGAGGTCCTGGGGAGGACGGGAACGACGCGTCTCGGCGCCGATCGTGCCGACCGGCCAAGACGACGTGCAACGATCAAGAGGAGAAGAAGAAAAGAAGAAGGGGGGAGAAAAAGGAAGGAAAAGCTTCGACGGTCCCGAGCGGCGGCGGCCCCCCTTGGGGAAGACTCTTGGCGGGTTTTGTGGACGACGTCGGACGTTTTGGATGCCGGGGGATGATGGAAAGCAGGCCCAATCCTGTCAATGCCGCCTTTGTGTACGTGTATGTGTGTGTGTGGTCGTGGCTTTAGCCTTCCTTCTTTTCCTTCTATTCTGACATTTGCTTTTTTTTTTCTTCGGGCAGAGAAGGGACGGGGTATCGGAAATGGTTCATGTCTGTCGTGTAACTGGAATTCGAACGAAAGATTTACAAAAGGGGGGCAACGGTAAGAAGAGAGTCGCATGACTTGAAGGAGGAACTAACTGCCTTTTGAAACGTGCCCTTTCTCTCTCTCGTACGGCCGGACTGAATTGAAAGTTGTTGCAGGAGGGAGCCGCCGGGCTGGGCTTTTGAGGCGAGTCGGTTGGTTCACTGCGTTGGGAACACCGCAGGTTCGTTTGCCGCGTTTGAGTGATTTGCGTGTGTTGATCAACTTGCCAAAACTTGGTCTCTCTCGAACTTGCCTTTCTTTGCCTCACTTGCTTAGCCCTTACCAAGATAACACGGCCAACGAGGGGTGAGAGCACGAGCCATGTTTTCAAAACGGCGAAAGTTGATGCGCGCCGCAAGTTATTACGGCACTTGGACGACTTGGCGACGCCTGGGACTGATTCAGCTCATGACTCTGCCAAGGCCAGCAACTCTGGGAACGATGACACATCTGCAATTCACCCCGAACGCACCAACCCCCCCCTTCTTGTTGGACTGTAGGGAACGAAGGGGGGCGAGCGACGTCTGGTTTGCCCTGTTTCTTGGAGACTGGAGACGGTCAAGGGGGGCTCAGTTTGGAGAAGAACGAATTAGATGACGGCGAGGGCGGTCGGTGATTGGCTGGTGGTTTTGGGAGATGCGGTGACCAAAATAAACATGCAGGAATCGAAGAGGAAAATAGACAAGAGAAGTCGATCACTTTCTTGGCCCTGACGACGGCATCGGCGACGGCGACGGCGACGGCGACGGCGACGGCGAAAAGCATGACAACACGGCTTACGTGGGGTTCCTTTTTGTTCATATTTTAAACTCAATTTCGCGCTAAACTCTGGTTCATGCTGGGCAGCGGGAACAGAGAAACAAACAAACAAACAATATATTTGAATTTTTATCTTTTTATTTTTGGTCATCAGCTCCAGTCGGGGAATTTGGAGACGGGGGACCCGTAGTTGGAGGAAATTTGGAGTAATGCGGAGTGGGGGTGTGGGTATGCACGTGTTCCTCGGTCCTCGAGAAAGCCTTCCACCGGCCGCTTCGGAGATGGGAGCGGGCCAGAAGGAACTGGGAAAGGTTTGCGAGAGAGCGGCAGAGGAAAGGCGCGGGCAAATGACGTTTTCACACAATCTCTCGAAATTTGATGAGATGGCCAGGATGCGGGTTTCGCAGTCTGGAACTATCTCGGGGGGGATGGATGGATGGATGGAGGGAGAGAGAGATGCAACGGTAGGAACCAGCGGCAACCACGGCCGAGATTCGCGCCGGTGCGGTCCCGAAGGAGATGGAGAGGGGCGCCCTACTTCCTTCCTGAGAAAGATATTTAACCCGATCCGATAACACTATTGGGGAAAGCAGGGGAGAGCAAGCCGTGGAGAGCCGAGGACCCGAGCAAAAGGAGACATGGATACGGATACGTTGGTAGGTAAATAGGTACCTGTAGGTAGGTAGGTAGGTAGTACAGGATCCTCAGGCAATAATAATCATAATACCATGTACCTTGTATCCACGAATATCCGCGATATCCACGATATCCACGATGCGCTATCCGCATTTCCACGATAAATCCACGATGACACTGGCCCACACGGCGGGCTACATGGATACTACACTGCAGAATAGACTAACACGGTTGCAGCCCCATGGCCAATTTCAAAGGAAGGACGAGAGGAGGGACCGCCCCCACCCAGGTCCAGCTGCTCTCCAGCAGTCCACAGGAACCCTGGGAAAACGAGCTCTAGATGGAGACGCATGGTCTGGTGCCGGTTTTTGGGAGAGAGAGAGAGAGGAGGGGGGGGGGGGGGCGGACCCATCCCGCACGTCACTGGATCGGCAGCATAGCGACAGGAGTTGGGGACCATGGCTCGCTTCACCTAGGTAGTAGTAGTGTAGGTTGTTTCTGGCATGCGTGTGTAACGCTCGCTAGCGCGGCTGGCCAATTGTGCAAGACATTCCGACGACTGGTCGCCCTACTGTTCCGGGAAATGCATCGGTGGGGGGGACAGGAAGTGAAAACCAGAAAATAGAAATAGAATAAAAAAAAGAAATAAAAAAGATAGAGAGGTGACGACCACCTGAGTTTCAGGCAAGGCGATGGCAACTCGTTCGTCTTAACCGCCATGGGTGTGGGTGGGAGGGAATGCAACGCGACGTAACTCTGGCCGTAGCACTTGCCCTGGATCTCACGCGGCTCGCGTCCAAAAAACGTTGGAAGCTCTTTCCTTGGACATTGCCGCCTGGACATACCGGAATGGGCAACACCAATCAATGGCCATAGAAGATAAGAAGAGGGGAAAGAAAATCAAGGAAAGGAAAGAACCGGCCTCGACGACGGGAAAGACTTGCCGTCTATTGCAGACCGCATTCCGAGGAGGGGCCGCTGCTAGGGAAGGCCTTCCGCCGAGCGCGGCGGCCTCGTCGTCGTCTTCGTCGTCGTCTTCGTCTTGCCCTTCTCCGGATTGGATGAGCCAGACCGCCTGTTGCCGTCCAGGCTGGAAACAACACTACATGCTAAAACAATGCCGATCTTGGGCCTTCTCCCCTCTAGTATCCGTATGAGCCAAATAATGCTAGCGTCGTACCGTCCAAGATACCCACATTAGCCAGCTAGCCGGCAAGCCAGCTTCTGCTTCGCAGATGAGCCGCCGCCGCCGCCGCCGCCGCCACCACCACTACCAATACCACCTTGGCAAACCCCCAACTTGGTTTCTGTTTGGACGACTGGGTTGACGCTCCTCTTTTGGGGCGGACGGTCCCAGCAGAGCGTGGAGGGTTACATTGTGCGCCGTACACACGTCGTTTGCCAAACTGTGCGGCGGACGCTAGGAGACTTGTTGAACCCTTGACTGGTCGTTGACATGCAGGAACCTGGGGTCGATTCGCGGACGAGTGCGACCGTACCTGCGTGGAAGAAACGGGACGGGTGGCATTTCGGCCAAGGGGACCCTCGGAGAAGAGGTGGAGGGGGCGCGTGGCGCCGTAGCATGAGAGGGACGGTCGTATCTATCTCGGTGTGGGCATCT